AATTTTATTTTTAAGCACACTGAGTCTATTGCTTGTCATATGAAATGTGCTATATAAATAAATTTAACTTGACTATATTTAAATTTCATATCATTTTGGCTCATAATCTGAGTAAATTGGAAAACGTTACATAAATTGAGATGACATACACAAAAAAATATGGAGTTATCACAACATTTACACTAACTTCTGGTTAAGCCGACAATCATTTATAAGTAGTCAGTTCAACTCGTTTCTATAGTGTATTCCTCCGGTGTTTCATGGCTACATGACAACCATCTCAAATGAATTGCACTACAGTAACAACCCCGATGCATTGATTTTTTATGTCAGTGACAGGTGTTATGGAGGATACAGAATAGGAATAAGGGCCTATTAAGGCCACAGAATCTAACCTTACTGCTGTAAGATGCAGTTAAGGCATGCTGATGAGTTCAGAGTCTCAGGAGAGCTCTGTGACAGACAAGAGCCTGCTCCTGCTGTAATGCTGGAACAAAAATGTTTCAATGCAGGGAGAAGGTCAGTAGCTAAGCATAAAGGTTAGAGTGATTACAATTTGTCAAAGCTTATCTCCATTTTGCACCCCACAACAAGTGACATCTGAGACCCACTCCCATTAACAGACGTGTCCGCTGAGAGGAGACCCATCGGAATCTCATAACCAAATGCCAGCAAAGACCGCTGTGGCATTATCATGAGATATGTCTCATATGTCTGTGACGCTCTTGTCAATAATGAAGAAACAGGCAGGCCTAAAGGATGTCACAGCGGTGATTTGACAGTGACAGAACAGGCGCTGGTCGAAGACACAACAATGATATAACATACAATATTTATAAAGGTGGGCAGGTGGAAATGATGAATGGGGCAAACCAATACTTATACATTTTAAATGAGTGCCTGCTCCGCTAACAGCTAGGACAAAGACCATGTGTAAATGTCACTGCAAAGTGGCTGTGGAAGAAAATAAAAGGACCTCTTGGTTAAATCCTAGAATGCAATACATCAATAATTTATATTTATTTCTAATTTATGTTTTTATTTCCCGTCTGTCATTCTAGTGTTGTAGTACTCAAAGTCAGTCTTGCTCTGAAGACCGGTCTGGAGACCTCTTTTTGAAGGTCTCAGTCTCGTCTCAGAATCAAAAGCATTTTTACTCGGTCTTGCTCGGTCTCAAGACTGTGCAGACTCCAGATTTTAAATCAAGACCGGTCAGGACCACCGAGGCTATTTTTTCCATGTCATTACTGTGATCAGACGGAAAACGCCTCTTTCTAAACGAACAAAATTACTTCAATTCATTCATAATTAGATTTTTATTATCTGGTTACAGCCACAACCTTTTTTTTTTGTTTGGACAAAATGAGTGACAGGCCTGCTGCACACAAGATGATGATTTTCAGTGACATTTATGATCTTTGTCTTGTCTCAGTCTCGCCCTGCCATTGTCTTAGTCTCGACTCGGTCTCGATCCCTAAATGTCTCTGTCTTGTCTCTGCCTCGGAGCACTCTGGTCTCGGGTAAGTCTTAATCGCGGATAGTGTGGTCTTGACTATGTCATTCCTTTGTGAAGCGCTTTGGGCTGCATACTTTCATGTTTCAAAATCGCTTAGAAATATAGTTGAGATTAGATATTCACAGCTCAAGATATTCATCAGTGTAAGATAAATTAATTTCTTCCTTGAGTTTACTTAAAAGTGAAAGAACATATTGATATTTTTCTTAACATCCATTGCATTTCTTATCAGTGCAATGTTGCCTTTTTGTTTATTTGTGTGTTTAATACACAAATAGTGAAATGGAATCAAATTGTATAGACAGACTTTGCGAAACTGATGCTGACTGAGTGAATGGAAAAATGGTTTGAAGAATAAATCAAATCCTCTCTTTAAAGGCATGACATAAAGTCAAGTAGCTTAAAGGCCGGCTGTCAGCTTGAGTATTGTGTATAAATGTGCTTTTCATTGGATTAAATATAAAGAATAATCATGAGAACGAAATGGAGGAGCTGGCAGAAAACAGATTTATTACAACAATACTGGAGCCTCCATGCAGTATAGAAACGGGCCTTTAGAAATGATGTGCAACAAGGTTCATCCAAAATCCACTGGCTTAGCTGCTCTTATTGTTGTGAAGAAGAAGAACACAAATGCACGGCTGGAATCGTAGAATTCTGCCTCATGCATAATATGATGCAGCACAGAGTGTAAACCCTAACAGAAGAGGATGTGGGTGCAGTCTTTTTGTTGACTGCTGACTGATTACAGACAAATCCAGATGCCCTCCTGTCTCACAGCGTGTGCAGAAACAGCTGCTGTGCAGAATGTACCAGCACACCTCCATAAATCCCTTCTACATGCTTCACCAACACACACCACTTTGATGTTTCTAACCTGCGACTCTTTTAAAATGTGTTATTATTGTTGAACGGCGAGCACGTCCTCTGCCTCAGCAAACAGCATGTCTTTTAAATCATGATGGCAAAAATCATGCTTTATTGCCACATTAAGCTCCTGCAGCTGCATGTCCAGTGTCCTTGGGCAAGACACTTAACGTCAAGTTGCTAACGCTAATGGTATACGGATGTGTAGGAATGGATTAGTTACTTCTGACGGTCACTTCACATAGCAGCCTCTGACATCGGTGTGTGAATGTGTAGGTGTGACCTGCTGTGTAAAAGCACTTTGAGTAGTCAGAAGACTAGAAAAATGCTATACATCCATTTACCATTTTTTACCATCTATTCTTCTGTACTCACTCAATGTTTAAACGACTAGGCCTGTGTATTAGGTTGACACAGTCCTATTTTCTTTATTTTGAAGAAACCAACTCCCTGTCCAATACGCTTCTGAATTAGACTCTTTGTTTACCAGTATAATGCTGTATAGATCACTATTAGATAATAGTTACAATAGTTAGTTACAATTCAGTAAGCAGACATTTTTATCCAAAGCGACGTACAACACCAATCCATTCATACACCGCCACCGAAGCAGCGGGAGCAATTCAGGGTTAAGTGTCTTGCCCAAGGACACATCGGACATGTTGCTCGGCTGGGGATCGAAACCCTCAACCTTCCGGTTGGAAGGTGACAACTCTACCAACTTGGTGGAATTGCACACTTTAATTTTGTCCTTAAATAAAAGTTTGAGAAAGAGTGCCAAAAGTTAAATGCCAGTGAAAGCCAACTAAATATGCTGGGAGTAGACTGTCGTAGTTCTGAGGTCTTTATTGGCTCCCTTTCTGATTTAAAAGTATTTCTTCTGGATTAAACAGAATGGCTGAGGGCCATTTGTGATCTCCTGATGCACTGAAGTGTTTTAATAACTTAAATGCCTTCCTATAGTGTGTTTCTTTCGCCATCTGCCATGATGCATTTGATGTTTTGTGTGAAGCACTTTAAATTCCCTAGTTGCTGAAATGTCTCACATAAACAAACATGCTTTGACTTGCCATAGGTCATTGGGATTCTCTTCACAACTCACAGCAGAATCAGGCTTCAACAGAAATACACCAGCTAATGTGTGCTTTAAGCCCCACAAGATCTAGTGGAAATCTAGCATATGAATAATCAAGTGTGAATATGAAGACTGGTTCTCCTTAATAATACTCAACATGGCTTAATATGTGTATGATGGGCTTTCAGGTGAGAGACGGGGTTGACATTTCCTACAGGGTAAACAAGCTGTGATTGAAAATCCCTGCAGATAACTTCTTGAAACACGGGACTGATAGAAGCAATCAAACAGTAAGCAGGAGTTTTTGACTGAAAGTGACTGTGGAAGAAATGTTGCTGCAGTGCCGCGTGTTTTCAGGTAGTCTGCACTGCTCACTTGACCGGACAAATAGTGATGGGAAATCATTACGGATGAGTGGAGCGGTCCGTCTTTCTGTGTCTGCAATCTCTACCCAGATGTCAAGTCATAATGAAAAACTCTGCTGGAGTTTTTGAGGTCCTCGACTTACACACAAGGCTTTACTGACAGAAGGAAAGGTCTTTATTATTTCATGCTCTCCTACATGCCACACAAGAGTAGCTCAGGCTGTTAAAGTCGCTTGGCAGACATGTGTGAGTCGCAGGAGTTATGTGATTTTTGGTTAAATTGGTGTGAAACCAAGAGGATCTCAAGACAGCAGACTTGAAAATAGAGTCAGCCGTCTCTGACAATGTTCGAAGAAAGGAAGAGTAGCTGATGCTAGGAACTCTGTACTCTGATCTAATGGAAAGACGTGTTGGTTCTTGAAATAGAGGTATCATAGAAAAGAATGCATGTTGGCCTTTATCTGCAGGCACATAATCAATAAGGTGACCTAACAAACCACAATTATTTGATGCAAAGAATTAGGTTCACAAGCATGAAATTTGGACTAAACTGCATGGTACACGTGTTTATAGGATGTTCCCAACCTTAATTGCGGGTAATAATGTGTTTAATCTGTGCACCAAATAAGTCACAGGGTGTAAAAGGATTGTGATCGTATTAAGTCTCTCGATTATCGATATGTGTGATTTGGTTGTATAATTATTCAACTAATCAGTGTCACCTCTTAGTCCATATCTACCGTATTAATAAGACCTTTTATTTGGACTGAAATTGACACTTTTTGTGCAGTTTCTCTCCGTCTCTTTATACTTTTCATCTTCCATTTTGCCCACTTACAGGTCACAATATGAATTTTTTTTGGTTCACAGAGAATTGTCCAATTCATCTCACATCCTCTGACCCTGAGTTCAAGTTTTTACCATCTGTCAGAAGTCCCACAAATGCCATGTAGGTTTATGCAAAAGCCACAGAGCAGAAGAGGAACATCTTCTGTTATCTATCCGCAGACATTTCCATCAAGCTCGATCAGCGTGTAATGACACTTCTGCAGCACAGTGGGCCACTTTGCTTCAGGTGTCAGACAGAGCCAATCATGAAGAGTCAAGACAAAATGACAACCAACAGCAAACCGGAGGTGCAACCTCGCTGTGGTCAACAATGTTTAACATCACTGACCTGACCCAGCAACTCAGGCAGGCCCAGCACTTGTCCCGTGAACACACCCAAGCAGATGAGGATGGCGTTGAACTGGCCAATGGAGCCTCTGATGTGTCTCGGTGTTATTTCTCCCAGGTACATGGGGAGGGCGCTAAGAGCTATACCTATCAGAAAAACAAACAACATATTTAGAACTACAAAATTAACTTTGTGTTACAGGAAAAACAAGCTAAATAGAAGTTAAAACTGTCCTTCATACTCATAATATAGACAACTTTTAACTCTTTTTTACACTTACTATGGAGGTGTAAACTAATAAAGTGGCTCGTGGTAATACAAGGACAGTGTATCTTTCCATATGTCTTTTATCTTTAGCCTCCAGCAGGCTGTAGAGTTTTGATAGTTTTGATATTAACATTTTTGAATCTAGGACTCAATCTGTAATGGGAAAAATGTATTTTGTTTATGTGTTTAAAATAATTCTGTTGTGAACTGTCTGACATTTCAAGAAATGCTGTTACAGGTGGCTTATAAGCATCTTGTTTTCAGAGGTTTTGATCTCTACAAGGATGTTACTGCATGGACATCTGCTCTTCTTCTGTCCAGGTTGATTGTGTTAAACTGCTTATCTTCTACAACAGATCTTGTCCACATCCTCCCTTCCTCCTTGACATATATAAAGGGGGTCTTCAGTCTCTCTCTCTTTTGAGTTTCTCTGCAGACTGATCACTATGATACACTCTGTGCAGTTACTCCTTCTTGCAAGAATAAAACCTCACAAAGACAATTGGGTCTTGGTCTTTATTCATATTATCACTGGAATATTTCCATGAGAAATTCCCAATCTTTTTTTTTTAAATATTGCAGGAGCATGGATAAACCCACAGCCAGATTTCTGCACTGATCATGTTCAACGTACACAACAGCACTTGGACCATATAGCAATGCAACAGCAACTCACAAAAGATGGCCTGTGCATTAGATACAGGTCGGCAGTGTGAAAACTTAAATTCCTGAGAAAGCATTTTGCAGAAATCCATTTCCACAGCTTGAAATTATAAACCGTGTGACCGTGCTCTATAGTGTTGTTTTTTTTATTTTTTATATATAAGGTGACATTTAGGTGGTTAATGTTCCTGAACCCTTATCTCCATGTGACACTCAATTAAACCAGGCTAATAGGATGTTAGCCTCCTAATCCTTATCCAGATAACTTTAACACAAGGACATCGGTGAGACCAGACACTCATGTGGAGTGCCGTGTGGGAAGTGATGCACAGTACAAAGTCATAGAAATGCAGCCAAGCAGTTTATAGAATTACATTGCAGTATAGTGTTGGCTACATTTAATAAATAATTATTACCTAAATTAAAGTCTAAGGTTAAAGGAGACCTTGTTTTCCTACATGTGTCAGAGGTTCAGTGTCGTTTTTCACTTGCACACATAATCTGTGTTTCTATCTAAAATAACCTTTATATCTAAGTGTATGCATATGTGGTGGGATACAAAATATCAAGTTAGGTTTTATTAATTTAACTCAGCTTTATTTGTGAACCTTTCAATAAGAGTCCAGCTGTTAGTATGTATTTTCATTTAATCAATCTTGGTAATTTTGTGGATATATAATTTAAATCTCTTTACCATCTGTGGGAATGCTTCTTCTAGGTTTGTATAGATGTAACAGTATATGTGCAAGACTCTCATAGCATCACATCTCTATTTGGATTGGAGTCAAGTTGTTAGCTTGAAATGAAACAAGATTTGCTAAGACTGAAATGCAGTGGCAATTCTAGAGTCTGTTGGGGCCCTAGGCAAAAATACATTTGAGGGCCGTCCAACCAGCATTCAGCAAGGCAACAGAGAGTGAGTTCTGTCAGATAGGAATCCCATAGGAAGGTTTCCTACCATCATTGCGAAAGCATTTGCCTGCCTTGCCTGTTGACAAGCAGCGCCTCTTCTGAAATGTATATGTCTGACATTGACAAGTTAGGATAAAGTCATCTTTCTAGCCTTTTAGAAGTGTACCCAAATAGAAATCAATGTGTAGGCCGTACCTGCTAACAGAATATAAGCAAGACTGTTATCATGAAAAGTTTGTCAGCCATTCATGCTCTGTTGCTGATCTGTCTGATCTCGCCTGAATAAATCGGAGATAATCCTCAGTCCGTCTCCTGAATTCATCATCAAACAATTCCAGAAGAAACACCCCCCCCCCTAACAAATACGGGGGGGGGGGGGGGGGCGAGGCAAGACATGATGTAAAAAGAACAATGGGGAAGGTATGTATACGTACAATGCCATAAAGAGAATATTTGCCTCCATGTTAATGCTATGTGCAGTTACACATAATCAGTATATCACAATCACAATCTATGGTTGTGCATAAATTGCAGGGAATAAACGTGACCTCCCAATCGCTCCAGGTGAATTGATTGGCACCTTCCCCATATTGACAATCTTGTGAAGAAACTAAAACTTAAATTGGGTTTCTTCTTCCGAAACAAATTTTGTTTCTCTTTTGAAGTGAAAAAGCGGCTTGTCACTGCAACTTTTTTATCCATTTTAGATTATGGAGACCTGATGTATATGAATGCCTCAGCTAAATGTCTAAGTAAGATTGATGCTGTTTATCATGCTTCTCTGAGCTTTATTGCTAACTGTGGAGCCCTGACCCATCATTGTGAACTGTATTCTCGAGTGGGATGGCCTTCTTTGTCCACCAGGAGGCTGGAACACTGGTGCACTTTTATTTACAAGGCCATGCTTGGGCTACTGCCCTCCTACATCTGTAACCTAATCACACGGAGAAGTGTTGATTCTTACGGTTTGCGTTCAAATGATCAGTTGTTGCTGTCTGTTCCATTTGCCCGCACAGAGCTGGGAAAAAGGGCTTTCGTCTACTCTGCTCCTTCTACATGGAACATGCTGCAAAAAGACTGGAAAATAACTGAACTGATTTCTTTGAATGCTTTTAAATCCAGGGTGAGAGCACTTGAGACGACCTCCTTTACGTGTAACTGTTTTTAATCATTTTAATTGCTAATTGTTTTTTAATCATTTAATTGCTGTCTGTATGTTGTGAGTGTGACTGTGTAATTTTTGCTGCCTCTTGGCCAGGACTCCCTTGAAAAGAGGTTTTTAATCTCAATGGGACTTTCCTGGATAAATAAAGGTTAAATAAAATAAATAAATTAAAAATTAAAGTCTGTGTATGATTTGCATGATCATTTTAATTTTTTTCTTCTACCATTTAGTAGTTTGCTCAAATCTTTTTCGATGTCAAGTAATTAAAAAACACTTACCAGAGTCCACCCCGATTATGAGGCGGCCAATGATGAGCATCTCAAAGGATTGTGCCCTCTCACCCAGGGACAGCAGCAGAGCAGCGATAATGGCAAAGACGTTATTCAGCAACAAGGTTCCCTTTCTGAAGTCAAGACAAGAAAAGAGGTTCAAGAGAAGAGTCTGAACAATATCAACTCACATAGCAAAACAAATCGCTAGCTAATCCAACCGAAACTAACTGGACGCATAATTACATATTTCAACAAGGGCTTTTTGGAGCTCAGCCGTAGAGGTGAGAGGGTTCAAAAGAGCCTTCATAGGAAAACCATTCAGAGTTGCTTTCATAGCATCAGAAGGATTAAGAAATGAGCGGATAAGAACTTTTCTTCAGAGCAAGCAGAGTAGAAAAAAAAATCCATGTCTATTCTCTAGTGAGGCCGCTCGTGAGCGCTCAAGCTTTGAATGGCTTCACGTCCAAGGATGAGCCATGAAGTGTCAAGATCAGATCAGTCAGCTTTATATGCTTATAAATATATCACTTTTTTTATAGCTTACAAATTGAGAGAGTAATTAAAAAATAATATAACTCGGCAATCAAGTCACATGTTCCAATTCAGGGTCTGGATCTACTGAAGGATGCAGCCAGCGATCACTGAATGTAGAAGGATGTTTGTTTGTTTGTTTGTTTGGATCCCCATTAGCTTTAGCATAGCAAGAGGCTATATTCTTCCTGGGGTCTGTAGTTTACAATGTGACAATACAATTTCACACATTAATATATATATATATATATATTTCTACACTACACAAACATTACACAACATATAGCACATCTACAATAACTCATAAGTAATAAAAACAATTGACATAAATGAACAACACCCCCAAAAGAAACAGAGAACACAAAGGCTCTGTCTGCATCGACAGCTTCTAAAAGATGCTAAAACATGTTCACACAGGAAGGTTCATAGTCTCATCACAAACACTCAGTTCTGACTTCTGTGGTTTCTCTGTACATAATGTTCTTGAAGTCGTTTTTTTAAACTGTATACAGCATTTTGTTGTTTAATATAACTTTGGAGTGAATTCCATTCCTGCATCGCTCTGTGTGTAACTGAACGTGAACAGATGATGATGTTTTTCATTTGTGAAGTATAAAACAACCTCCCACAGCATGCCTTGTTGTATAATGGTGTGTGTCTGTACCATAGACTGTTTAAAGAGTACAGTCAATGGTCTGCTGTATTGAAGGATAATCTTCTATACTAATTAATAGGAGTTTTACTTTTTTGTTACATTACGTAAGTAAACCATCAGTGAATAAAATTTTTTGTTTTACAATTTTATATTTCAGAAACAAGAGACATTTGATTTCATCCCACATGAGCGAGCTACTCTCTATATGTGAATGGAAAACATGAACTAAGTATTTTTCTACATACAGTACCTTTAAAATAATCACAGCATTGGATGTTTTCTAAGTTGTATTTCCTTTCAAATAAAGTTGCAATGAATCCTCTTAAGAATGACATTTTCTTAAGTGTCCAACAAATGTCTACACATTGGTTTAATGTATAAGAGTGATTGAACAGAAAATCATTGTTTGCAAAGGTTTATTTGTGTGACTAACTCCAATAAGGACCATCACAAGGATTGTCACCACTGTGCTGGCATCCTCACACACTCCCATCATGTTTAAATAAAACTATGATGTGTTCCAGGATTCTTTCGTAGTGGATCTTTTGTAGTGGTTTGATTTTTTCCTAAGTTAGGGGTCAGGGAATTTTGTGTTTTGTGGATTTTGGGTGATGCTGCAGTAGTGGGTTTGTCTTAAAAGCAGACCGAGTCAAGTTGTTCTGCACTCAGCCATGTCTAAGGCAGAAATTTCTTTTATAGTTTGGGAAATTCTTTTTTCCTCTTCACTTTGTATAAGACGGACACAACTGGGAGAAAAACAACAGGAAAGTAGGGAGTATGGTTTTTGAAGCTTGGACTCTAGTTAGAAAAAACACATTAGTTTAATATAGTCTCTTTAGCATGCAAAACATATTTGTATTGAAATATTCAAACATCAGGGTTTTAAAAAAAACATTTACCTTATCTTACCGCAAAAGTTTTAATGAACTGCTTGCTCATTCTCTGAAGTATTAGGCCTACTTTCCTTTTAGAGTGCTCCCTGTGTCCTCATCGGCTAATATTTATTCACCTCCTCTCCCTGACATCTGAATTTCAACCTTCCCGAGAAAATGTGCAGAACTACCAGCTGGCCTATAGATATCTAGTGGAGAATATAAATGGAGAATGAATAATTTTTCCTTATGAACTCCGTGAAGATTGCCCCCTAAGAAACCCAAGGTGAATTTTGAAGGCATCTTAATGTTTTCCAATGACTTTGAATAAAAGCTTCATGAGCCTGTCCCCGCTCTGCAAGTGACAACCTGATCATTAGTGGATAATAGATTCTTTTGAACGTGTATTATTTCAGAGTGCTGGGGCGCCGCAGTCTGTCCCTGAGGGTTAAAAGGGACGAGCACAGCTCGGCTAAAACCAGGAAAAAAAACATCAGACTAGTGAGATTGAATCTCAATGTGGAGAATAAGATGTCAAACTACAGCTGATCAGTCTGTTGCAAATATCTTTGTTTCCAAACAACAAAACAAAATGTCCTTAGAAAACAATCATGCCCACCTGCAACTTTGTCTCCCACAAAACATAAACCCTGTTTCATACAAAACAAAAGGCTGTACGTGTGTTTTAAGTGTAAGCTTAAAGCTATATTGAGTTACCTATTTATGTATTACATTTCATTACTGCTCACACTAATGTTGTAGTCAAGACCACACTAACCAAGACCAAGACATATCAAAGACCAGAGTGCTCTGAGACCGAGACAAGACCAAGACCATAAATATTAATGAAGCATCATCATCTTGTGTGCATCAGGTGTGTCACTCACTTAGACCGTAACACCGGGAATGTTGTAGCTGTAACTGGGGAACAAAAATCATATTATGAAGGGATTGAAGTTGGGGGCAGCAGTAGATCAATCTGTAGGGACTTGGGTTGGGAACCGGAGGGTGGCCGGTTCAAGTCCCGGTGCAGACCAAGAATACAGAAGTTATTCTGGTAGCTGGAGAGGTGCAAGGGCACTTCCCGAGTACTGCCAAGGTGCCCTCCAGCAAGGCACAGAACCCCCAACCACTCTGTCGTGCTCCCTGCGTAGCAGTGTGTAGCAGCCCCACTCTGACATGTCTCCACTAATGCATGTCCATAGATCCTTTTTGCGCATTTGTGTGAAAATCATGTATCTAAAATAACAGAGTGTAAAGCAGAATTTCACTCAGGGATTAAATAGTATTTATAATTAGTATTGAAGAATTACATTTTTTTTTAAAAGTGGCGTTTAGAAAGTTTTTTCTAATCACAGAAATGATGTGGAAAAATAGCTGATCACTGGTGGTCTTGACGGGTCTTGATTTAAAATCCTGTGTCTGAGATAAGTCAGAGTAAAAATGCTTTCCATTCCAAGACGAGACTGAGACCTGAGTCTCGAGTCCGGTCTTGAGAGCAAGACTGAGTTTGAGTACTACAACACTAGCTCACACTTTAAAGAACCTTCTTTTTTATAAAGCTTAATCCAGGTAAGATGACAGCAGCTATCACCCCTCAAACATTTCATTGTGAATATGAACAGCATGTACACAGACACTGAAGAATAAAAAAGGTTCTCTTCTTCCATCTCCTCCTGAGACATGTGAGGAGTTGAACTGCTATTGATCTGTGGTAGAATCCATAATACTAAACCTACACTCCAAAAGCCCTGCATGGGAATCCCTTGAGAAAAGTCACAACATCTCCTTCTGTGCTGTATAAAGAAAAGTGTCCACACAGTGTACAGTGTTAACTACCATTTCCTGCACAGGTATGATGGTCACGTACAGTGACTTAGGGTTTGTCATGAAGAGAAGAGAAGGATGCATAATGTATGGAAGACAGTGACAGAAAATTTGCAGCCAGAAGAAGATAAAAAAGAATATGTAGCCTGTAAGCTTTGAAACAGGGAGCAATGTGGCAGTGAAAAATGTATGGTATACTTGGATGACAGTTTACCCTTTCTGTCACAGATGGTTGTAAAGCATGTGCCATTTAACAAATTGAGGCAAAACATAGTGTTACCGGAGCACATGACCAATTTTGCCCCTTTAGAAATAATGGATAAAGACATTGATTCAAATTGAGATTTTAAAATCTAACCCAGTATATCTGCTGCTACACATTAAGATGAAAACTACAACGTAATAAATACAGAACAGAACAAGCAGTAAAGATAATAATGGATGCATGGATGGATGGATGGATCGGTGGATGGATGGGTGGGTGGATGGTCGGGTGGGTGGATGGATGGATGGATGGGTGGTTGGGAGGGTGGATGGATGGATTGGATGGATAGATGATGGATGGTTGGGTGGGTGGTTGGGTAGTTGGATGGGTGGGTGGTTGGATGAATAAATGGATGGATGGATGGATGGGTGGGTAGGTTGGTGGATGGATGGATGGATGGCTGGGTGGATGGATGGATGGATGGGTGGGTGGGTGGATGGATGGATGGATGATGGATGGATGGATGGGTGGGTGGGTAGGTTGGTGGATAGATGGATGGATGGGTGAGTGGGTGGATGGATGGATGGATGGATGGATGATTATGTGCAACTATGTGTACTCACCTTCCCAGAACTTTTAAGATTAAAGAGACACTTAGCGCCCCGAGAAGCCCTCCAATAGCAAATATGGACACTGTGATGGACCAGAGGATGGTGGCTGTCTCTGCTGCAATGGGCTCGCCATATCTCTCAATCCAGGTCTTATTGTAGAAGGCTTTAATGTACTAAAAATAAAGAGACATATGGGAGAAAGACGGCATAAAAAATACATCATTCCTCATTTGAAAGGTAATTCAAAACGCCTTTGTAGTGTTTGATTCCCTTTTAATGACACAATGCAAATATAAACCAAAAGGTAGTTTTGCTGTGATTACTCAAAAAACAAAGGCTGGAATCTGACAGCAGGCAATACCCAATGCAAGCAAAGATCATTTGATTTTCTGTTTAATTAAAACAACCATGATACTCAAATTTCTGGATGCAAGGTCTTTATCAAATTAAATACACTCACGGTTCTAAATGTGATCTCCCAAGGAAGCAAATAGAGCCTTTGCTTTAAGAAAATGAACACATTCATGTAAAGTTTGAATAAGTCAAAGAATTCAATGTTTGAAAGAAATGACAAGCCACTGAAAACACTCTCACCATGAATGAATCAGTCAGTTTAAAAGCATAAAGAAAAATAAATGACCTTGTATCTTTTTGTGACATGTCGACCGATCTGTTGTTAAGATTAAATCATATAACACCAAAGGAATTAGAAGCAGTATCCTTAATGAAGCAATAAAAATGCAAAAGCGGAAAGCAGAGGAGTCACTGTTTACGGTCATTATAAAATCTGCCGTGGCTCAGGGGTGGTGAGGGGTTTCTTGCAAGCATAATTCACAACAGCTGTGAGTGCCTTATTTTAATACCACTGACTGGAAAGTTGATGCAACAAATCAGAGTTGAAAACATTAATGTTAAGATGAAATTAAAGATCATATACTACACAAACGTATTAACTATCTAAAATTGTGTTTTCTGTTTCCCTTTTTTAAGGTATATTTTGGGGATATTCATGCCTCTATTTTAGAGATAGGACAGTGGATAGAGTCAGAAATCTGTTACTTCTTTTAAATCACTATAAATAAAATGTTAAACAATGAAAATAAAACCCGGAGTCAATGTGGAGGCTTGTGCTAAATATGACACAATTTGACACAAGAATGAGCAGACAAGTGATTTTCCAGGACACTGTGATGTCATAGTATACAGTTTCAACATTGTGATTTGTGGGAGGGGTTGGTAACGTTGTGATTTTGTCCCATATAGACAAAGCAAAGTGTGTCATAGTCTGAAAACTTTGCCCTCTAAAGGAGGGGGTAAAAATCAAAGCAACTATATTCAACCAAGATCTGAAATGCTACAATGCCTTTGGTTAGCTTTAAGACAGCATTCAACATGAGGTAGGATTATTTTAGCAACCTATAGGGCGCCACTTACTTCCTAAAAACCCTGAAGTAAATTAGCATTTGTGAGTCATGGGGTCTAATGTCTAAAAGTCAATGGGAATTATGAATGGGTTTGTGGTTAGACACCTAAATAAGGTCTGTGGTTAACAAAAGCTTAAGAGATGTTGGTGTTTTGTTAGACCACATAAACTACGTTAGGCCCCGTGTCCACCTGGCGTTTTTTCTGGGCAGAAAAGCACTGTATGTGTGCTCGGGAGTATTCACATGAAGCGTTTGTGCTCTGAAAAGAAAACAGCTGCACATCCATCCTGTCCCTATGACAACAGTTTGTTGACAAACAGCCGCTGTATGACCGACACAGCTGTTAGCTTTTTACTTCTGTCAGCTGCATTAACGCTTCAATCATAAAAATGGTGTTCATTTGTGAAGATTATCCTGCTGAACAAAACGCCTACGCATCAGCAACGTGTGTTTTCCACAGAGTTAATTTTCTGCAATGATCTAAAAATCCAATGCAAGAATCCCATGGCCGACAAAAATACGTCATATGGTTTGTTCTCTATACTCCTGAATCCTTACATTGAGATATAATCCCACTGGATGGTCAGTAGTGAAATACTAAGATATTCTTATTTCTTTGTTCAAATCATCAGGTAAAATAAGAGTTTTACCTAATAAAGATGGAAGCATGGCTTTATCCTAAGACCTCATACCTGATTAGAAAGTTTCACACATTCTTCAAGCCTTCGTCAACACAACCCATAATATAACCCATTACCTTCACGTTAGTGTTTGCGACATGTTCTGGAATTTCAATGCTTAGTCGCGATTTTAAATAATAATTTTTTGACCGCCCCTGTAAAAATGTATTTAAGGTCTATATTACAAAGATGGACATGCATATATGCAACTCTTTTTTAACAAGTGCAAGCACTATTAATTCCTTAGATTATGAATAAACAAACATGCATACTGAAGGTATACAGTGACAAGGTGTAGCCACATCCATTTATGAACATCATACTGAATTGAAGACGGCTTAAAACTGGCAATGAATACCATATAGGCATATGGTAGATATTTGTAAACTGAGTTGTTGGGCCAGAGTTTCAGGATGGCTTTGTGTGTGCAATTGACTTCCTGTCATCCATTAGAAGTTCTGAGGATGCTATCTGCAGATAATGAAGTCATGTTCACATGAGCTAACCGGTTGGTAGGGTGAGTGTTATAACAGTCAAAAGCTAACACACTGAAACTCACTGTGTGACTGTAATATTCATCTTGTAAACAGGCCTAAAAAATTAATATTGTTCCAGCGTGCAAATTACACTCCTCATGAAGAAAACTGTACCTTTTAAAAGAATGATCTTGCGTTCCCTCCACTATCGTCAGTAAACAACTCCTCATGTAAATGGTTATAGACATTTCAACCTTGCATTACTAATGGCCATATAAAACATGGAGTTATGATAGGGTTAGTGAATATCCAATTCTGGTTAAACATGATCTCTTTTTAACCTTTATTTTTTCTGTCATTGACCTACTGCTGCCTCTGTGCTTAGGGTAGATAATAACAGTTGATAATGGGTATAATTCTTATAAGAACAAGTATTATTGTATTTTCCTTCACTCTGTAGCCCAGCCCTCACTTTGACCTGGAGAGCACTTGATTACCAATTAGTGGCCCAGGACAGAGCTGCCAGGTTTCCTCTCTTTCCCCATCGTGCTCTGATTGTTCACCAACATCAGCCCAACAATCACAGCTAGCATTGTAATGTCTTCTTTTCTCAAAAACCCTGTTGTGTGATAGCTTTCTTATTGTCCTGAAGAAACAGGAAAGTTTATTTGGAAACCTTGATTCCACTTATTTAGTCCAAGATGCTACTACTGTTGGTTTGTTCAGATGATTATTTTTTCTGAGCAGTACCAGGAGGAAACACAACACAGTGCAATGATACTATAGATATTATTCAAAAACCCTCAAGCGTTTCCTTGAAAGTCTTTCAAAACCCAACCAGGTATGCTTTTATGACTTCACTGTTTTAGAGGCATTGTGCAAAAAAATTAAAATGAAAAATATCTTAGTTGGGAAAAGTTTCTAAAGCTGATTATTTTCAATTATTGAGTCCTTTATGTGGTGGTTCTGTAATTTTCATTTTGTTTTTTGACCTGAAACTCATTTCCCCCTCTTCAGTGGCTGTTTAAAAAGCTCTGGTCAAATGCTTCCATGCTGTCAGATTGTTTCTGCTCTCCATGTGGTATTGTTGGCTCATGTCTTGAGAATTTTTTATTGTGACATTTATTTTTCTTTTGTGACTTATCCTTTTCTATTTTGTTTTTTCCCTTCCAGTGCCTTCCACCTCCAAGCTCCATCGCCTCAGCCTCTCCACCCAGCCTCTCTCCACCTGCCTTCCCCAACCAGCCCACAGTATGTTCACGTCTTCAATGCCTTTTTATCAGTACCTTTTCGTAATATATTTCCTTTTGACCTTTAACCTGTCTGCAGATTTTACTATTGGGTCCAGTTTAAAACCAGCATTTCTGAAATCGCAACACTTAAAAATAGCACCGAAAATAAAACTTTGCAAAATGTCTAAATTCCCAAAAACATTTTAAACCTTAAACCGACTTCTTTTATTTAATATAATCAGGGAACTTAGGACACATCACATCATATCCATGGAAACTTTACTCTTTTTTTTTTTTATATGCATTAGTGCTTGAGCTGTGTTCTCAGGAGAGCTGCAACAAACACAACTTCAGAAAGAAGTAGTTACATAAATGAGGCTGTACCCAACAAATCTTTCAGTGACTGATGACGTGTGTTTTGTGTAATCACATTGGAAGCTGAAGAGCTGAGGGTCGTGAACTCTGTGAATGCTAATTAAATAAACTATGGAGCTTTTAATTGCCTCTGAACAAACAGAAGGCCAGATTGAAAAGTGTGACATCTGAAAACACTTTTCTCATCGAAGAGTGGCACTGCTCAACTGGACCAGAAAGGTGCTGGAAATTTCACTTTCATTTTCAACAGTCAAAAGAGGATTTAGTGACTGTGAAAATGTCACGTCTAATCCAAGCTTTTACATAACTGTATCTGTGTCTGACAGGTGTCCCATGTGCTAACAATGCCCAACAGGATAAACACACATTCACTTTCATTGTTCCCTTCCTCTCCACCATGAGATTTATGATAAGAACCGGAAGATTAAGATGAGTCAACAATCTCTGTGATAAGATAAATGCAACTTTGAAATGTTAAGTTCCCTTGAGTGTGTTTTATGTAATTGGATGTGAGTCAGATTAGACAACAAGGTGAGTCATCAAAGAAGCTTTGATATGAGACAGAAATATCTAACAAGTGATTGGCCCTTTTATTCTACACTGACAAGACCCTCGACAGAGTGCTTTTGTATTTTTCATCTTATATAAAAACTGATGTATATATTTGGAGTTTCTGTTCAGTATGTGCACATAAACTGTGAATCATTAACCCAGCAGACACTCTCTCTGGCTTGGTGGAAGTAAATGGGAGATTGGTTTTGCAGAAAACTGTGTGTCCAGTTATGTAACGATAAATAACAGACTTATTAATGATATTCCTGGCTCTATAATGGAATTTAGCTTGTAACCGATATAAAAATAGAGTAAATTATGGTGTGAATGTGTGATTTTTGGACAGTAAATGCAAAATGGAACAGCATTTCCATTTTTTTAAAACCTGGATCTTCACCATCTGAAGTAATGATGTTATATATACAGTATATTAATTGTGCTATTGATTGGTGTAAACAAATGAAATAAATCATTGGATTGTAATCTGTAAGCAAAGCTACAAGATGAGATAACAGTCACACTCACCAACGCAGGGGCATTGACCACCGACAGGTTGTAGCCGTAAATGAACGATGACCCCAGGGCACCGAAGAAGGCAGCGCTGAACAGGCAGGCTGTGACTGGTTGCTAAGGAAAGAGCAGAAAAGTTAATGACTTTTCAGTGCTGCTGGGACAATGTCAAGGCCAAACCAGGGGTAACCTGAAGCCAGTGTTGCTTCATTTGACCCAGATATCAAGAAACTAGGTAATTCCCATCACTCTGCCCTCCATTATGTTGCAACAATAAATACTAAGAACACCTTGTCTAAGGAGATAGCGTGTCTGCTAACTGTACGGATGTAAAGGTGCCGATGGGAGAGATAACGATTATGCAAGATTCTCTGATGGTGAAGAACCTGAACTTTAAATGCACATTTAGCTGTAGCTGCTATCCTATGTCTGAGAAATGTGCATCTGTTTATTTATCATTTACTGAATAAGGACAGTGCTCATTTAATTACCACATCAGCAACTGGCTTCATCAGATAAAAATGCAAATTTTTCAAATTTTTATATTCATTATAAAATGTTAGTTAAAGACAAGTCAATCCCATTGTGGCACTTTTAACCTAATGCAGGCATGAACATAAAAGTGTACAAACATTCTACTAAAATGTTGGAAGCCAGACTGAGCTAATCTAGAATAAATGTCTTTGTTTAGTCATTGTCAAGCATGTAAGCATGTTGACTTCAGCTTTTGACCTCAACATCAGATTTTCTTGAAAACATCCACACAGAGCAGATAGAATATCTACAGACTCAAGTGTTGTTGAATTTCATTGGTGCAATGATAGTTCTTTTTCTCCTCAGGACACAGTTTAATGATAGTTCAAAAATTGTCTTTTTTTTAGGAAGAGGTAAACAATGATTCACAGAGCAATATTTCTCTGGTAAATATTTCAGTTAACTATCTTTGACACAAAGGGGAAGTTAAAAGTCAAGAGAATATATTATGCCTATAATAATGATAAACAACCCTCATTTACACCGACCTGGTTCCAGTCTGTAGAGGCAATAAATATTCTCCTATATGATCATCATGCACTTTTCTGTGAAGGTTAAAACGCGTTGTACCCACATCACAACCTATAACTACACATTACCCCAACAGGCCAGAGTAGCAGCCCTGAGGCACATCAGCATGATCCCACACATGGGGATATCACACAGCAGGGGAAGACAAAGTGTTGGAAGCACAAGGAGAAGGGCTGGGTGGGTTTGGCCTGAGGCTACAGGAAAAGAAGATGAGGAAGTTCAGAGTTAGTGTTCAATAAGAGCCGAAGATGTTTTCTGCTGAAAGAAAGAAAGAAAGAAAGAAAGATTGCAGTTTATCTAAAGTGTCACCAGCTTCATTCATTAAAGTTTCAAACCCTTAGAAAGGCATACAGTATCTCACAAAAGTGAGTACACCCCTCACATTTCTGCAAATACTTTATTATATATTTTCATGGGACAACATTGAAGAAATGACAATTTGCTACAATGTAAAGTAGTCAGTGTACAGCTTGTATAACAGTGTAAATTTACTGTCCCCTCAAAATAACTCAACACACAGCCTAAAAAAACTTGCTTTGCTTTACATTGTAGCAAAGCGTAATTTCTTCAGTGTTGTCCCATGAAAAGATGTAATAAAGTATTTGCAGAAATGTGAGGGGTGTACTCACTTTTGTGAGATACTGTATGTTGCTTATGCTTAATAATGTTCATGTTAAAGGAACCACCAATGAGTAGAAGTGAGTTCAGCAGGAAGTTGAACAAGGAGCTCATGAATGGTTGCTCAACATGGCTAATAGAAGTTATTTAAGCAGGGGGTTATTAGTAACAGGGAGAAGTCTTAAAATAACTTAAGTGGTACCACACAGGGTGCAAAACCATTGCTTTTCTTCCTTCTCTCTCTTTATTCTAATTAAAAAGTAATCACTGAATCACTATCTGTTCTCATATGTCTCCCTGTAGAGGACATGTTCTGAAAGATGTTGGATTTTCATTAAGGTACTTATTCCCTTTTAATTGTGGATGCACAGTGGATTTTATCAAATACTCCTGTGCTTTACCCTTCATTAGTTTTGTTTGTCTCAATAATTGGCCCACAAGCTTTCATTTGCATGACACAATAATAACCAAAGAAGTGCTTTGCTCCCTTTAAACGTTTTTAATTCATGTTTTCTTTCATAAGTTAGCACTATAGCTTCATGGATATGCAGGGCCTTTCTCTTCTTCTAATGAGACCTTTGGAGGTTTATACTCATCAGAGTTTAGGAGGACAAAAAGTCACTTCCTTTGGTATTAACTAAAGGAATGGGGAAGTATTTTCTTTGTTATAGGTTATAAAGTTTCTGACCTGATGTGACATCTCTTGCAGGATCTCGGTCAGGGTGGCTCTGACTGGGTGACTTTTTAAAAGTAATACATATTGCAAACAGTTGGCTGGATAGATATTATGATCATATATTTTTCAAAAACGTGTTTCCATCTTAAACTAAAATAAACTGCAAAAATAATTTGAAAAACAAAAAATAATCCCCCCCTATTGATTTTCTACTGGCTATTTGGAAATTCCGTTTGAATAAATAAATGTGTTCATTTTGTTTTTTTCAGTAACTTTTCTTTTTCCTGGAAGGCAGTTACTAAGGACAAAGTCTAATGGGCTCAAAGAGTGACTGCTTCTGTGTTTATTAGTCAATGAGATATAAGAAATACAGTTTAGAATTTAAACACCACCCGATAGTCTGGGTCGCAGTAGTTCAGTCTGCAGTGACTCAGGTGGGGATCCCGTGGGTGCGGACCAAGTCTGGTAGCTGGTGAGGTGCCAGTTCACTTCCTGAGCACTGCCGAGGTGCCCATGAGCAAGGCACCAAACCCACCACCAGCTCAGGAGCGCTCGCTGTGGGCAGCCCCCTCACTCTGACATCTCTCCATTAGTGCATGTCCACAGGATCCTGTTTGTGCATGTATGTGTACTTCAGCCTATGTGTGTAGCATGTTCAACAACAGAGTGTGAAATTGAATTTCCCCTTGCAGGATTAATAAAATATATCTCCTAATAATAATAATAATTGTAAAGGTTAAATTGAGGCAAAATAAATCGATGCAATAGATAGAAAGTATATCGTTATAGACCAGTTAGTTTATGACTGGAGATACAAGAAAAATGCAGATAGCTATACTTAATTAGAAAACACTGTATAATTGATTTGAATGATTCTATTCATTACACATTTTATAATGGAATTGTTTTGCGTCTCAGGCTCGGCAGCAGTTTAGGCATCTACAGGTTTTATTTGTAACATCTCTAGGAAAGCAGGCATGAATGAAGACAGAAAAAGAAAATAAGTACATAAATATAAACAGTTGATAGATGTTTACAGATAAGATTGTGTAACATTGTTTGTCATTATTGATTATGTTCCTAATCTGTTTCCACTTGAGAAATTGCAGCTTTAGGAGCCTTTAACTGACCTGCAAATGTAACTAGAAAAGCTAAATACAGCTTAATTCAAGCTTTCTTGGTAAAGAAATAATCATTTTGTGGAAGAAAAAAAAGGATTTAGAGCATCAGGGAAGCACCTACTGCAGCAATAATACCATCATGTAGTAGCCAATAACAAAAAGGCAGTAACTGAGCTTCTTAAGGCTCTGTTCATAGCTGGGACCTTGCTCAACTGGCACCGCTCAATTTTGCTGTCAAGGACTTTGGATATGGTAAAAGGCTGGTTATTGTGTTATCAATGTGGAGTGGGTATTGAGTGTGTCAACAAAGTGAAAGATGGATGAGGCTAGCTCAAAGCTGTACATTTTAACAAAGACATGTTTGGGTTGGGGGGGTGGTGATCGATTGAATCATCATTTTTACACTTAAAAACACCAACAAACAAAAACACAAAATAAAACACACAAAGATGTTTCTGTGGACTTGCACTGTCTGGGTGCAGGGTATTAATACATCCGTGTGTATTTGGTGCAGAGTAGTAACAAGATATGACATCCCAAAAACAGCGTAATTCTCCAAATCAACTACAATATTTCAACATCAAGAGGCCTGATTTAGAATTTTCCTCTCTATTTTTGTTTTATGGACCATCACTCACTCATCTAAAAAAAAAAAAAAAAATCAGAGATAATCCCTCCATTACGTTATTAGAACAGCTGCCTTCATATTACTCCATGCAGTTGTTGTTTTTTAAAGGGCCTGACAAAAGCAACAGACCTGATTTGAAATAGCAGCACAGAAAGGCGTGTCATCATGTGCATAGTGCATGTACGTATTTACAGAAGGGCAGTGTCATGAGATACATCTTATCCTTACCTGATTTTCTTATTATTCTTTCAAATAAGGGCACTTTCTCTGTAGAGGGCAAAACGACTGGGGCTTAAGCGTGTGCACGTGCCTGGTCAGGACCTATATATAAATTGCTATCAAGACTGTTCTGTCATTCTGTCAAGGCAGTCTAATTTTACACATCACAAAACATGTCATCATGTCAGAAAGACACAGACTTGTCCACATGAGTTTCTCTGACATGAAATGAGTGACAATGACACTAACCTTTCCAGAGTTCTTCTCAGAGTCGCTCATCTGGATGTCAGATGGGTCGTCCTTCCCTGGTTTGTCCATGCTGACGTTTTAGCACCCTTAAAAGAGGAGACATATCAGAACAGACATCCAGAATATCAAGAGGAGCACGAGGAGCGCAAAGAGGAGGAAGTGAAATTTAAAATAGAAACTACTGAGTGAAACATCTACTAGGAAGGAAATTACAAAATCCAAAATGTGCAGAAATGCAACACAAATACACACATACTTAACACGCAGGCTTATCACAATTTGGTCACAAGTTTAGGATTAACTCATAGTAAATACTACCTTGCACATTGAATTGGATTAGACATTGGATTTTTGATCAATTGGAAACAATGATCTGGATTTGTCTTCTTTATCGCTCCATAATAGGAGGCCTGTGTGAAAGGGCATGGAAAGCTTGAGTCTGCCATCTAGTGGCTTTATGAATAGTAACACTTAGAAATACTACAGCAGATGATTTTTTTTTTTAAATGCAGTATGTGCATAGGATTAGATGGTTTCCACATTTGTGTAGATTTGAGGTTTTAAAAAAAAATCAAACACACATGTTGAATGTAGTTTAAGGTAGGAGTCTGTGTTTATACTCATGAAGTACCAAACCTCTGAGCATTTATTTAACAGAAAGGGGAAGGTGACCCATAGTGCTGCTGATCTCCTCTCTGCCCCAAAGTTAATAACATTTAATAGCATTCAGTTCCCTCCCAGAATTTAAATGAGTCTCTGACTGGACGAGAATGTAAACCAGCAGGACTCGGGGTCCTCAGGAGTAGGATTCAAACTTGTAGCTGTAGATTGAGTTCATCAGATCACTGAAGATGCACGACACATCAGAAAGTTGGAGTCTGACTTCCCCTTACTATTACATATGTTTCTTTCATTTTGGATCAAAAATTCCTGATACCTCCACTGCTGCTGTGTTTTTACGTGTCTCATCCACACAATTTATGTACTTGTTTTTTTCAATTTAGTTGTTCCTGGTGCAATGACAATAAAGATATGATATTCTGTTCTACTGCTGCAGCAAAATCAAATCATCTGCTCTTAAACTTTTCAGAGCCACTTTCAAGAGACTTCACTGCTTGACGAATAATTTCCCTTGGTGAATCGTGTTCCAACAGTACATCCTATGACTTACAGCTTACTGCTGAATAATAATGAAAGCTCCAGTTACAAGACTGGATCCTGTTAGCCAACGCTGTCAAACAGATGAGCAGCTCCTTTGATTCAAGCCCAAGACGTGCAGAATTAACTGAAGCTGTTACTGCTGTTAAACTGTTGGCTCAAACTTAAGTTACACATAATCACTGCTTTAGGACATTAATGCTATGTTGTTAAATCATAATAGATAAGATCTGTTTATGTAAACACATTAAAATTCAAATTTTATAACTCCAGTCCACGTTTAAATCAAACGTGGACTGGAGTTATTGTTCGGAGGATTATTTCAAGCAATAAAGCTTCGTTAAATTATTTACTTCCTGGTCATTCTTTTTTTGTTCTATCAACATGGTTGTAACGGTCACTAGATAAAGCCTTCAATAACAACAGTCCACAAACATAAATAAAACACACATACTACACAATATAGTGTAGAAGCAAACGTCAGTAAATCTACAGCAGAATGAGAGTCAGCCTTCTTGACCAAACACATTTAGTTCTGTGGATGTCAGTCAGAAAAGTAAAAAGCAACAACATATACATTGAAGTCGTCTGAACAAAGTAGCAACAGTCCTACCAAGCTGAGTGTCACTAGTAGAACACTTACCCGCTTACAGGTGTATCCAGTCCCTACAGTAAGACCACTGAGCAAACATTACCCTTGCACGATGGAGATAATAACAATGAATGATTAACTATTATGAGCTCCTCCCATCCTCTTTGATATCTCTTATCTCTTGTGTCATTATGAGAAAAACTTTCCTCTCACTGACCACAACCAACAGTATACTCAACATAATTAGCTGCATTGCTTCAGCAGTTAACCAAATTAAGTGAGTTGATTTGCAAAAATGTCCCCGTCCTTAAAGAGCACATGATTCACATTCATACAGGAGTTTGTCTTTCATTAAATCAAGGGTGCTCATGGTCCAATATTTACCACCAGGATGCATGCACTGACTACAAGCAAGATGAGAAATTGTGCCAACACAACCTATATGTGATATTTAAAAAATCATGTTAACACCCTTTGCAATCACCTTTAACTTCACTGGAGAGTTGTAAAAGTGTTCTTTCAAGACTTGTTGACATTACTGTTGGGTGTCATTACAAGCCAAATTTCCCCACCCATGCTAACGGGAAAAAAAAAAAATCTTCAAACCTTCCAGCGTTGACTAATGAACCCAGGTGATAAGTTTGTCTCTAAACCTTGAGTCCTCAGCCATGCTAACATCTGTCTGAGCTAATGCTAAGAAGGTGTAAAGTTTCCAAAGTTTTTGTTGTTAGCATGCTAACTTATGCTAATAGGCACAGAACACAAAGTTGGATCACAGGAGAGGCTGATGAGGAAGGATATAGTTGTGTAGTTTGGTCCTTAGCTAATTTATCAATAGCTTTGAGGACATTTTCAACTTTTTTTCATCATGGTGTTGATAAGGAAGTCTGTACAAACATCCACCTGACTGACAGCTTTATATTTCAACATCATAGTATGGATAAATATTGAAGGTACATTTAGAATCAAATTAATTAAAGTAAATTTGAATGCTAATGTGGAAAGTACAGGTTTAATTTCCCACTGCCTAAGACGATGGAAACGCCGTTCTTGCTCATTCATACAAGTCGCTCAGCAAATATTTACTGCAACTCGTATGCTTGATAACTTCTCTGTTGACTTTCTTTATTTGAGAAGCAATTACTCTGAAGTAAATAACCGAGGCACAGCAGGAAATTATGCAAAACAAACTGGCAAGATGAGCAACTACATTTTTAAATTCTGAAATAAAGGTATACAGCGTACTTTACACAGAGATGATGTCAATCTGAAGAACTCCATCCAGCAGTTTGACTGGAGGTCCAGTTTTTAATGAGTAAGTCTGGTCAGTTACAGAGCACTCAGGTAAAATGGTTAACTTCGTATTTATTTATGCATTTCAAACCTGAATACTTAAAACAAAAATGTGTATTTCTCTATTTTACAGCACAACAACACATTACTGCATGACTGAATGAAATCCCCTGTAGGGAGCCAGAGTTATTGCAGTCAGTGTGAGAGTCAATCCAAGGCTAGATGTGGCCCACATGTTGAGAGACTGAGAACGGTTTTGTCCTTTCTTAGGTCTTCTTTCAGAAAATCTTTCTTATAGCATCTTCAGTGTGAAAAAAAGTGGGAAGATATGGTTGAACATTAACTGCTCTGTATGCTGAAAATGTGGACATGACTCTTGGGTCAATGGTAAAAGAATGATGTGGTGAAATTCAGACTCTTGCAGCGACAACAGACCGACCAGTCTGATATGATCGATAAGGTATTTGGGTTCAAATGAAATCAAATATCCCAGTCTCCATTCCGTGACCCTGAGTAATAATGAGTTCATTCAGTGTATTAAATAAAATCAGCATACTTCTTCTCCTTCTTCTAAACAAGCAGCCACACATTCTGTCACAAGCAGATTCGGGGTATTCATTGACGAGACATTGCAGCACTTACCTTGACCTACATGTGCAGGATACATCGCTCCAGTGAGGGGCAAGAAAATGGAGTGTACCCTTGCAGCTTATGCACGCTCCATTGTTCAGCTGCATGCCTTGACCTCATATTAGCGTGAGAAACACCCTTTCATCCTTATGACCCCCAGATCACATGGTCTCAAGAACAGAGTAACACCAGAAAAGAGCTCTACTCTACCAGGTGTAGCTGCCTGTTGGAGTTACCCTAGAAACTTGTAGCATTGAACGCACATTTCTTAGTAAAACGAGTGAGAAGGTTGCTGATTACGAAGAGAAATACAAACTGCAGCTTGTTAAATAAAAGCAGCATGAGAGCTTTGGTATTAACCCCCCCCCCCCCCCCCTAAATAACCAAGTCCTCAGGCAGCTTTTTCCTCTCATCAACAATGGCTGCTTTATTCTCCCTTAGTGCCACATTATTATTTCATTTGCAGTGTCTCCTGCCAGCTATCTATATTAGGAACATGTGAGCCACATGTGATTACAGCATCATAAACAGAGAAGGCCAAAAACATACCAAGGTTTCAGCACGTGGCCAGAGGTGTTGAGCAACTGGTTTGTAGTCCTGAAGAAAAACTACGAGGTCAGGAGCTGCCATGGTCTAGTAATGAAACTCTTGTAAGATGAACACCCCCTTTGGGACATCGTTTCTCAGAGCTGGAGTCTAGGTAACAGGAGGATTAAGTTTCCTAAGATGTGGAGCGACCTTTCAGTGGGAAAAGAATCCACAAGCAAAGAGCAACAAACCAAACTGAGCTGAGAAAAATATGTTTCTTATACTTCTTATTCAGTTTCCACCATGCAGTTATGTACAGAAGCCTTAAGCAGACATGCATCCAAACCCTTTTTTCTTCTCACCTTTTCCTGATATAATGAGTCGTTTCTGGTTGTTTTATTAATCTCTTATCTCCACGGTTTCAAAAAGCACAAAACAAATATGGCAGCATGGCATGAAGTGGTCCAGCCCATCACAGGGACAAGACTTTTGCTGATGATTGATAAAGAACAAGCTTTGTTATCTCGAGATTTTGAGATTAATTCATCCATTATAGTAAGAAAACCAATACTGTTATTCCAAGATGATGAAAAGAAAAGTTGAAATATTGAGGAAACCTATCCTGATCACGGGAAGACCAGTGTTATTATCTGCAGATGAAAAAATGAATAATGTGACAAAACGACCCTAAAGTACTTGTTATCATTGGAAAATGCTATAGAGACAATGTATGGTTCTGTGTCTGCTTACGGTTAGGTTTGACTGAAAAACTAGTTACCGGCATATGACGTTAACTTTTCATGATCATCATCATCATCATCATTTATTTTATTTAAATCCTTAGAAAACACATCGAGGGAGAACCCCTCATTTGGAACAGTGATGAGGTACACAGACAACAATAGAAAAGAGGCAAGGTACAAACAAAACAAGAGAACAGCAAGAATAAAACAGGAAGTGCATGCAGTTAAAAGGCAAGAAAATACAATGCAACAGAGTAAAAATAATAAGTAAGAACAATTAAAATATTAAAAGCAATAACAGTTCAGATCAACAGGGTACCTGGTGCACAGTCAGTATGTTCTCAGGTGCCGGTCGGTTGCAGAAACATACAATGAAAAAGTAAATAAACTGAAAATGACTTTACATCCACTTCCTCAGGTTGGCTCAGCCACGTGTTGTTTACAACGCTGTCTCTTCCAGAGCACAATATGTGTTGAACACAATCATGTAAAAATATATAATTACCATTGTTTTTAACATTGAGCCAAATCACAACAGAAATGGTCTTATGACACTCAACATTAAGAGCTGTGATGTGTTTCATTATTTACACTGGCTCAACATTAATCCACTAATAGGCATGCACTTCAACAGTGACATATAAAAACATTGTTTTAACAGAAACCTGTTGCAGAGCCAGTCTCATTGTCAGACAGTCATCTGCCCTGATCTGATTGGCTAATACACTATGGCATATGTCCCTCTGTTTAAACTAGCACGGATACAGCCAACTTCAGATTTTTCTGGAAATATGAAAATGAGTTTCCCTGCCTCATCTCATCTGTCCTACATTAGTTCACAGTTAAGTCACTTCAGTGTTTAATTTGCTAAAGTTGATATCATGTTGATAGCTCCATTGGTACACTTCTGTGTGCTGTAAGCTCAAAACTAACTGCCATCAGCAGCTTTGTTAAACATTGACTTTCCCTCTGTTCAGGAAGCTCTCTCTCACCAATACCCAAACAGAGAACTGTTTGTACTGCAGAGACTCCCCACAGGTTACAGATAGTAAATTAATGGACTCATTCAAAGCCAATAAAGCAGGTTCATTTGCTTCTTTTTTTTTTTTTTTTTAATCAAAGAGGGAATTAACTCACCAACAAGACTCTGAGGACTCCATATGTGAAGACGCAGGCTGATCGCTCAGACTCCACAGGCAAAGTGACTGCATGCAGAGTTTTGCTTTCTAACTTAATCAACTGAAACTGGACATGAACCAAAAGTGTTTGGAGACCAAAGGATGCTGAAGGAGACTGTATTTTGTTTAGAACTGTTCGTCTACTGGTTGTATATTTGTGAGAAGGAAACATTAACAAAAAAAATCTATAGGAGTTCATGTACAAAATTACAAAAAAAAGTTTATATATTACACCTTTTTCACAGCAACTACACGTTATGTGAAGTAAATGGCCCTGCTAGATTCTGTAGTTTAAAAAAAAGAAAGCAAACAGAATGACTCTTTACTGGTTCATGCTCATTTAAACAACAAACAATGAAGATAAATGTTAATGCTTCACTCACCTTTATGTCTTCTCTTACAGGTTCTCCTCTCAAACAGCAGCCAAACTCATTATTGATTCCAGTGCAAAAGAAATGTGCGTTTAAGGGACAAAATTCTTACTGGCTGTTTCCATGTCCTATATGAAGCTCCAGGTTAATGTATTTATGCTTTGGTGTTATCCAATAACTTGTTTTTCTGAATGCATGCAGGAGGGATCAGACCATCTCCTTTTAACCTCTCATCAGTTTCAGGAGGGTTGGCAGCACAGTGTGTGCTTTATTATTATGATAGAAATCCAACCTGCCCAAATATTTGTTTTCATTGAACAATTTCTCTGGTGTTTTTGCATATTCAGTTTCCTCCGTAGCAGCAGGATTGGAAAGCATTGAGAACCCTTGTCATTGTATTTTTTTTGACTCAAAGAAGGTGAGTTTTTTTTCCAAAATAACAAAATTATTTATGCAGAGAAGTTTCTATTTTTTTCAATGTTTTAAATAAAACGTGAAATACTTTTTGTTGTCCTGGTTTCTGCTCACAGCTTGTGTGTTTCTAAAAGGTTGGCTGAAATTCTTCTGAATCATCAGCCACTTTGTTTCTTTTAATCCCTAACTTTTATACATAGACAAAAACATTTAGAATTGAAGAAATTCAGTAAAATGTAAAAAAAAAAAAAAACAGATTTAACAGACCTGTGAATGTCAGTTCTCCACTTTGTCATCTCTACAGGAATACAGGCTTTATGGGTTGTTTTTACTAAATAACTCTTACGACAAGATTGCATAATCCTGTAAGGCAGTGGTTCTCAAACTTTTTAGACTGCGTACCACCTCCGAAAATATTTGGCTCTCCAAGTACCACCATTATGGTAGATGTTAAAATACACTGTAGGCCTATTTCTACACACATTTTACGCAGGAGGTTATTTATTATTGACTGTTGGCAGCCACACTATAGGACTACTAAGGGCTAGCGCTAGAACTGGCACTTAAACTAACACAACTCTGACATTTGCCCAAATCAAAAAAAAGTGCAGCACAATAAAAATGACAACTTTATACCAACAACCTGTTTGAGAATATTTAGTCTCAAGTGTTTCCCACTAATAGACGATACCTGGGCTCTAGTATATTTCCGACCTGTTCTTATTTAATTTTTCATTTATTCATAAAATTGCTGCGTGCCTGAGAGAGAGAGAGCGCGGAGAGAGAGAGCGCGTGAAAGAGTGCAGGCGTGCGCTCCGCGCTCTGTGCAGAGCCTCTGTATTATAAGTCTCTGCGTTCAACATTGCAAATCCCTCTCGACTCCTGCGGAGTGTTAAGACAGCAATTAGAGCAGAATTACATCAGCTTCAGAGATACAGAGAGAGAGACTGTCTGTACATGCATCAAAAACTGAAGCTTCTCCTGGCTCCGTACAGCTGCTTGCCACCGTTTCTGTGCTGAACTCCAAACAATAACAGAATATCTGTTAATGTAAGCCTACAGCTGCTTGCTGTTGTTTCAGTACTGAACTATAAAAACGTGAGGTGTACTCCTGTTGTTGTTTATGTCTGTGCGCGCGCGAGCATAAATTGAGCAGATTAAAGTTGTTTGTTGCAAAAACTAGATTCATTTAGAGGGGAAAACACATTTGATATTAATACAACCCAGTAGATACAAGACAGATAAGAGTATGACAAAAAAAAAAGTGTCATTTTCTGCTGAAGAGGTTTTTTTTTTTTTATATTGTGGAGATTTCTTTGCGTACCACCAGTGGTACGCGTACCACAGTTTGAGAACCACTGCTGTAAGGCATGCAAGCCTGTGGCAGGAATATACATTACAGAATGTTACTCTTTACTTTAAACATTTTTAAATATTATTTAGGTGCATGGGGGCTCGACTTGAATTTTAAAATGCAACATAATGTTCGATTTTCAGAGCCATGTCTTATTGTAAGGGCTGAGTGAAACAACACAAAATGTAACAAACATATTAAGGTGGGACCATGTCTAGCCTCTCTTTTGAGAACATGGAGGTATTTGTGTTATAAATTTGTACTATATTTTAAGTTAAGAACAAATTAAAAATACGCCTTTGTGACTGACTGCTAATATAAAAACTCTTCTGTGAGCAGAGGAGGGGATTTATTTTTGTCACGAGGAACTTCTTTTACTTAAAACCAAATCTGAAAATATCAGTGAATTGTTTTCCCTTAAATGCATGGACAGATATCAATATATGTATAATGTCGCCATCATTTCTGCGTTCTGCTTTCTTAATTTCCTTTTTCCACTAACAGCCAACGGAAAAGATGATAGAGAGACAACATTCAATGTTCGAGCAAAGGAAGTCAGTTATGTAACAGCATGACTCATTGAGTGACTGAGACGCTTTCTCACCTGCTCCTCTCAGTCATGCGTTCCTCTGAATGACTGCACATCAATCTGACAACAAAAAAAAAGAGCTCAAATCTGCATGAAAGGGAAAATGCATAAAAAGAGTTTTTATTATTATTAATGAATGAATTCCACTTTGGAAGTGGATGCATAATAACATAAAGAAAAGAAAGAAGTGTGAAAAGTGTCGTGAGCCCAAACAAGAACACAGCAACAAACACAGGACCTTCAACTGAACACAAACTTTGTTCTTTCTGTTCCTTCTATTGCTCCCCATTCAAACAGGAAGAGTTGGGAATCACAAAATGTATGACAAAACAAAACGCAAACACATCCACCCTTTAAAAAAAAAAAAAAGCTTGAAATAAACATGACAGGCAGCTGCAGTGAGAACCAGGTATCTCTCATTTCAGGAATGTAACCAAAAGGTTTCTTTTTTTTTGTTTCAAACACTATTTTGTTGATTTAAAAAAAAAAAAAAAAAAACTTGCTTTTGGTTCATCCGTTGAATTAGGATGCATTGAGCCCAACCACTGACAATGATTTCAGTTTAAACTCATTGAAAGCTATTAGCTATGGAATGTTGAGCCAACAAATGTTTCTCTGGGTCCAAAACGCTCAAAAGAGATGTAAAAGCACTCATGGTTATATCGTTTGCTCCAACAATTTGTTTCTGTGTAAGTCGAGGTTATTCTTTTACATATCTCACATCATTCTCATGGGAGGATTTCCCAGCCATAACCATTCACAATTCCAATGTTTACAAACAGCATTGACCACTGCTAGACAGTGAAAAAACAGATAAAAAAAAGAAAGAGAAAGAAAAAAAAAGGAGTTAATTATACAGTAGTCCTTGTCCCTGGAGATATGGAGGTTGTCTGCCTGCAGCTCAGAATGAAATAGTCCACTGTTTGACGGTGGCATCGTGGGAGGTGGTGACAAGAGTGTGCTCGTCCACCCAGGCCAGGCCGCTAACATGGTGCAACCGGTGGCAGTCTGCAGACACAGAGAACCAAACATCTTGCTACAAAACTGTCTCACACAACAGGGGGAGAGGGTAAAAAGACAAATATTTGCAGAGAAGTAAAATGACAGCTCCTCAAAAGTGAAGCCAGAACATCTGGAACTCTGCCCTCCGTACTGACAGCAGTACAGGTCAGAAACCCCGCCTCCTTCATGTTCTCAGATGGGACATCAAAGTACACGTCATGATTGTTTCTCGAAGACTCTTTCAGTCACGGTTCTTATTGTGCCGTTTTTCACACGGGTGTTCACTTTTCTGAGAGGTTCACTTTTAATTTGTTGTTTGATGCTATAGAAAGGGGTCTTCGAACTTTCCATGACAGCGAGTGTCTGCATCAAACTGACATAAGAATCTGCTCTGCTGTAGACTGTACCGACCTGAAGGATCTTTGCTGTTGTATCAGTAAGTTAAACGTGTGCTTTGGGTAGTGAAAGGGGAGGGATGACCAGACTCTGCAACCCTATGTGCAATGTGTCAGCGTACAATAGGAGGAGGAGAGTCAACGCTCAAAACATGGCTGACCAGAATGCTTTAAATCCCAGTGTTGCCATGGTAATCCAAGTTCAAATCAGTATTGTAAAGATTTTTATTTTATTTTAGATCATCACTTTTTAGGGGATGGAAGTGATGACTTTTAAGGCAAGGAAGGTAACTGTACTGAGGTGTTCGTTTAGTAATCCTGCCTCATCAATGTGTTTTTTTTCTCAAGCTGAGTTACTTTGGACACAACCTCTAACATTCCAGACTGTTCATCAAGCTTAAATATAAAGCAGATCGATCTTTGCACTTGTAACCCCTGCAGGGCATGCACTGTGTCAGGTTTCTTCAGTTTTTTTTGTTTTTAAATCAAGCACAGAGCAGTGAAACTTGAAGGACTTTTTCACTGAGTGGGTGTAGTATGGGTAAGTTCACTTCTACACACTGCAGTAGGAAATGCAAGGAATAATGTTACTTTGTAATCACAAGCTGACACTGGCAATAATTACAGACATTATACTGACCGTTAACTTTGAATAGATGTGTTATGACCCACTTGTTAGTGAAATAAATGCAGTGCAGAGCTTATATAACAGATTTGAATAGAAGTCATTAGAGACTGATTTGGTAGTCTCTAATTATTCATAATTAAAATAACAGAAAAAATGTGAGAATTGTAAAAATGGGTAATGGCTCATTTACACCTGCTTCATCAAGTGTTGTTGCCAGTCTAGATTAATGAAGCTTTCAGAGCAGAGTTCATCCATATGAATACATGAGTTAATGTGCATGTGTGCTTACCTTGGAGCTTGACCCTCTTGTCTGAATCACTGACTGTCCAGACAAACACCATCATGTCCATCCCACCAGTGGCAAAGTGCTCATTGTCAGGTGACCAGGCCAAGCACACTGGTTTGGCATGGTGTCCGTAAAACTGATTTTTTACCTTGTTCAAAGAAGTAAGTGAAGGGAGAGACAATGAGTCCTATTCATAGGAAACAGGCTCTCGATGTTGTTATCAATGGATTTGATGGACAAGTACTTACTGAGTAGCCGTCAGCCACAGTAAAAACTATGGCCACCTTTTTCTCATCAATGACAGCCAGATAGGCTCCATCTTCAGAGTAAGCCATGTCTGTGATCGTGCCTTTCACATTCAGAGTTTTACCCTCGTCCTTCAGAGTGTTGCCCTGAACCGAGTACAGATAGACATGCCCATCCTGAGGAGAAGAAAGAATCATTCAATCGTTTCCAGTGGTGGTTCCCAAAATGTTTAACTGTAAACTAAAACATGCTGTTGCTACTTTCCTCCTGGACTTGAAGCATTATTTAGAAAACAGAGTAAAGCTGAACAATGTGGTGCTTTGCAGTTTGTGTAATTGTTGTTCTTAAACCTCCACTTACTGCTCCTCCCACGGCAGCAGTGGTGCCCCCAGGGTGCATGACTCCGACCTCAGGTTCATAGCTGAGATTGTCCATTGTGAAGACTTTCTTCTTGTCCTTCAACAAGACAACCTGGAAAAGAGAAATGATTAAAAGACAGCATCAAGTTAGAACAGATGTGCACTCACAGACTAATGAAAAATACCAGGTTGATGAGGAAAAACATTGGAATCTGTTTACAGAAAAACGCTGAAACTGGCTGAGGAATAAGACGTTACCTGTCCAATGCACACAGCCAGTGAAAGCCCCCCAGATGCTACTGACACACTTTTAGGCTGGAAATCCATTTTCACCACGTCACTAAAAACAAACAAAAAAAACAACACACAGTTCAGGTTATTTATATCATAATTAAGCGTTGAGACAAAATTCTAAAAGCAAATATTCAGTTTGATAGGAGAAAACAAAAACACTGAAATTCCATTGGCTACTTAAACTGGACGTGATCTTTAATGACATGATTCACAAGATTGAAGAGACACATGTTGATGTTGAAGTTATAATCATCCTATCATTGGATTGCATATCAACTAAGATACTTCAAACCTGTTTTTAGCTGCTTTTCTTACAAATCTAAAGATAGAGAATCAATGACTTTTATAAAGAAGTTTAAAAAACATTATCGTCTCATTTGTGGAAACTGCCTTACCACTGACCCCCCCCAAGGAAACACAGAACAGCTTATTAATGATCCCTGCTCAGTTTCTCATTGTTGTTCCCTCCACAGAAAGACGTAGTAAGTCCTACCTGTACTCCTTCTTGTTGATGTCGGTGTAGCGCAGAGTATCGTCCATGCTGCATGTCACAAGCTCTTCAGTTCGTTGAAGGTCAGCTTGCTCACCTGGTTGCTGTGGCCTTTCCCAGAGAAGCAGTCGTTCTCTCCAGAGTCGACATCCCAGTAATGTGAGGCACTCGTTAAGGACAACAATCTACTGTAAACGTGGATATTTGATATTGCTGGAAACTAACGACATACTCTGAAATAAAGACACACATAAGCCGTTTTCACATATGCACTCTGGATAATATCTGGCAGCAAGGGGTCAGGGTTGTAGTAATGACTCAGCCTTGATACTTGGGGCAACTTAAAAATATTAGAAAACTTTTCAAATACCTGCTTTCTCTACTTATAATAGTTATACTTGATCAGACTCGTGCTCACCATCCCCTCCTGCTTCTGTCAATATTTCCATTCTTATGAATTTGAAAATGGAAATAGATTAATAAACATGTGCTTTAAACATTGAGATTTAAAAGTGACATAAAATAAATATAATTAGGGGATTAAAAACTGTTTTCAGTGTGCCAGAGCGGTCTCATTGATCAATGGTAATCTACAAACATGTTCAGTCTCACAGCCCACAGAGCGAACTTTACATCGTTACCATTACTATTTCAATGATAAAAAGGATATTGATATGTCCGTCACTACTGCCCGAGTAGATGTATGATCGCCCTTCACTTTTGTGAACCGTCAGACACTGGATAGATTTGCTGTGACCCTGTAGGAAGAAACAGTATGTTTTCAGATATACTTAAAAAAAAAAAAAAAAAGAACATTACAACCGTTAGTGTAAAATATTAACCCACATCTGTTCTCCTGTAATATTCTCATATGGAGTACATGGCATGGTTTTTGTTACCGTTATCTGAGACACACACTTTAAAAGCATCAAATCCTGCCCCTTGACTTTGTAAGCTAAGCACATGGTGACGTTTTGGATGGATTGGATTTAAAAGTGTAATGTTACACCACCCACACATACCATCTTTTCAACCGTACTGAACACGGTTTGTTTGCCACACATGTTCAAGACAGATCCCTCAAGTCACACGCCACAGCTGTCTTCACAAACATGGGAACATTTTGACATGTAAAACATTCAAGGATGAATGAATAACCATGAGATTGGATTATGTGTGAAACCATTTTTTTAAGTGTAATAAGATTTTAGGAAGTGCATCAGCCCTTTAGAAGGTTATAACTGGAACACTGTTTGACAAACACTGTTTCTGTATTCATATGAAGACAAAAAAAATGCAGCTCGCCACCAAATATTTGGTGATATGGACACCCAGTTAGAACACAAACCATGTTTTTCACATTAACAAATCTCTGTTTAAATGTGGATATCTGGTTGCATAAATCATTGTGTTACTTGCAGATCTTTGCAAATGTTTTATTATTTTAACCTCAGGCTTCAAAATGTAGTATAATGTGAGACTCAAAGGCTGAAAGCATATTGTTCTGTTTCTTTTACACTTAAACCTCTACTGATCATATTCAGGAACAACAACCTAAAAGTCTTGGGAGTCTGACCTTGATGACACGTATGGGCCGGTCAGGGTTGTTCTTGTCCAGGTAGTTGATGTATCCTGACAGGGAGATGCCGAGGAGGTAGTCCTTCTGCCACAGGCAGCCCAGCTGCTGGTCTGACACATCGGTGCCCATGCTGAAGGTGGTGACGGCCGTACCTGCGCCCACATCCCAGAGTTTCACCGTCTTGTCCCCTGAGGCAGAGATGAGTTGGGAGCTGTCAGGGCTCCAGCTGACCTGAAGGATTCAAAGCAGGAGGAATTAAAAGGAACAAGTTACTACACTGATGTGAATGTAGGCCAACTAAATGTGAAATAGCCCTTTAAATGATCACTTCAAAACAGACACATCAATGCTACAAGGAAAACAAAAGGAATAATCAAATCATTAACACGAGAACAGAAGGACAACAATCCCTAAAACCAAAAGTGAAAGAAGCATTTACCACAGTTTCCACACCCACAGCACTGAATGCATGCTAACTGTGGTTAAGTTCAGGGAAAACAAAAACCCAGAAGCCGACAAAAGGATCAAACACTGTAGTGACGTGTTTAAAAACAGTTCAGCCAAGACAGGCTGACGACATCTTGATGTAAAATGTGAAGAACTCACCGCATAGATTCCTCCGTTGTGGGCCTTCTCTCCACCCAGCTGGCTGATCAGGTCACTGCTCTTTCCATCATATAAGAAAATCTGTGGAAGTCATACTGCTAGTAAGACAACATCATTTTTGTACACATTGCACCACTTTGGGTTGAGACATCCTTTAAATGAAGTTGTAATATTTCAGATCACATCAATAGTTCCTGAGATTATGTGAACAGTTTGTTTCTGATCATATACGACTCACCTTGCCATCGGCTCCAGCTGTGACGAAATGTTCACCATTTGGAGAAAAACGGACACAGTTGACAAACTGGTTGTGGTCCTTTAGGGAGGCAGAGGTGGAGGGGAAATACATTAAAATCCACAAAGTGATTATACAAACTAATGGATAGTCTACAGAGGAATTGTATTTGGCAAAGAGTCTGCTTTCTTAGTAAATGAAGCATGATGTACAACTTACAGATGGATTAAAACATTTTTTATTTTTCTTCTTAGTCATCTTGCTGACTTGAGAAAATCTTAGTCCTTCCTTGTTTACATAATCAGAGCTTTGATTGGTCAAAGGAACTTGCTTACGTTTATTATCATAAGAAAAGCACCAGCCATATCATTCATATAAACAAAGGATATCCTCAGGCTCGCTGTAGAGAGCTATGGGTTGTTTTTTGTTTACATGAACAGACTTTAGCGCTTTAGAATAAAATTAACAGCTCCACAGATGAGGACGTAATGTACAGCCTCCTCTTAAAGCCAAAGTGAGAACAGTGCAGAACTGCAGAACAGACTAATAGTGCCATCCTCAGAGCAAATGGTAACTGTGTATTTATAGAAGAAGAAAAAAAACGCCTTCTTTAGGTCTGAGGCTCACTCATTCTCTGAGTGTTTATGGGTTATGTAATACAGAAGAATATAAAAAAGGTTTCCACAGTTGGAAACCACCAGGGTGGGAAAAACTCAAGATGAGGAGAAGACATTCAAGATAAGACAGCTGGTAGAAAATTCCATCAAAAAACACAGTGCCTACATTTGCTTAAGATAAGTCTTGGATCAACAATGGACTGTAGGTTAGCTCAAACTACTTTGTTTAAACACAAATGACCCTTTCTACAAGCTGCACAGAGACATATAGTGGAGGGGGAAGCAGAAGTCAATCTGTGAAACTTGCATGTTTTGTGTTTTTGAACTTGAAGGGAGGCCCCTCGTAGAAGGACCCACTGGTGTCATCACTGGCGGTGGCAAGGCGGTAAGGGCGGTTCTGCTTTATGTCCACGCTGTTGATTATTTTGCTGTGTCCGGAAATGTCACCAACTGTGTTGCCAGAGTCCCAAAGGATGGCTGCTCCAAATCTAAAAGCAGGAGATGAACATGCACAGAATCATTCCAGGTTTCTGTCGGGATGACTAGAAGAAGAAGAAGAAGAAAATAATACACTTTTCTCATGTGAACGAGAGTCCAATGATTAAGCTTGGCAATTTGATTATTGTGTAATTTTACTCAATAGTTACATTAAGTCAAAAACATTTACACACTGCACCTCACTTTTCACAAATGTATCTAAGCCATGAAAACTAAAAATCAATAAATTAGATTAACCATCCAGACAAAAACTGAAAGATAAAACAGAGATTAAAATCATCTTTACACACAGACTTGTTCACAGTAGAAATTAATCTGTGTTATAGTTTCTCATGATGGATCATCGCGCAAAATCCTTTCATTTCCTTAACAAAAAAAAAGAATCCCTCATGCTCACTTCTCTCGTCCCTCTCCAACAAGAGCGATCCTCTGGCTATCTCCAGTCCATGCAATGTCCTTGATCGGGCCTGAAAAGGGGGTAAACTCATTCTTGAGAATGTGCTCCTTCTGGGTGGTGTCCCAGATACGGAGTTTTCCAGTCACATCTGAAGAAAAAATAACAATAAAAATCACAATGATTTAATTAATAAGAAATAACATGATTGTGAGAAGTATTGGCACACATTTATTAACTTGTAGTCGAAGTTGTGTTGCTTACCTCCAGATGCAATATAGAATCCACTCGGGGAATACTTGGCAACATTAACAGTATGTGCATGTTCGGTGTAAATGTCTGCTATAGCTGGGTTCTGTAAAAGAAATGGAAGACATTGTCAGACAAAAATCTAACACTGAGCAACAACTTATTTTTAGTTTGTACCCTGGACCTTTTTCTTCCATTGATTATCATATATTACTCATAAGAATTAAACTGAGCGCAGCTTTATGACTGTGTCCATTCATCACACACGAAACCTGAATAATGAAAAACTTACACAAACATTTCAGCACATTGCAGTGTTGCTTTCTAAGCGAGCAGCTGAACAGATTTGTGCTGACTTCTCTCCATTTGAACATGCTGCTGTGCTGTATGTCGAGTAGTGAAACGTTTGGGAAAGTTACAAAATGAAAAGCAGGTAGTGGTGAGGTGGTAGGTTCTATCAGCTAACAATCAAACAGCAGTTAAGAGAAGGTTGTTCTCGAGGATGACTTACGCCCAGCTTCCCAACCTGAGGGATGCAAAAGATCTCAAGGGGGGCAGAAGGCTTTATCTGAGGTTGTCAAAATTAACTTAGTTATATTAACTAAAATTCTGAGAACGCACTTACTACATAAAAGGTATTTTGGTAAGAACAGGTGTATTCTTTTTTTGGTGTGGGTCCTGGGTGAGCTTTTGTTTTTTAGATACAAGTAAGGGCAGTAAGGCAGTATTCAAGGAAAAAAGGTTGGGAATCACTGACTTGCAAACTTATTGAACTACAACGAGTTAAATGAAGAGCAAACCCTTAACACGCTATCCGTTTAGTCGAACTATCATTGCAGTGTTGGTAGAAAGTAAACTGTACAGTTTCAGTACAATGTTCATTTGGATTTAGCAGAAATTGACCAGCACTGCATGACCACACCTAAAGCTAATGTTGAGTGTTTTCAGAGGTGCAAGAAACGTTAAACATTGGCAAGTGAATAAGGTCAAAAGTGAGACCAAGACTAGAACAAACAAAACAAAACCCAATGAAATAAATAATCAAGCATAATTACTTCAATGTTCCTGATGATCACACACTTCCCATTGGTATACAGGAAGTTGTTTCCTTTGGGATCGCCACCAATCACTTTTGCAACTCCCCTCTCCATCTGTGGGAGGCTGGCAAATACATGTTCTAAAAAGTAGATATGACAAGAAAGAGAACGCCATCATTAAAGGTTATTTCAACTTAAAATAAAGCAGTAAACAGCATATCCGTACTGAAAAATGCATTGCACATTTTGCCCAATATGACTAAAGAAATTGACTATTTGCTTTGACGTTTTGTTGCACCACAACTGTTTCAGATAAGATAGAAGTATGCAAAACAAATAAGCAGCATTTATTCTTTCATTAGCATGGACTAGAGAGGACTTGGCAGAACAGCCAGGCCAATCCTGATTGGTCAAATTGGTACTCAAACTAGTAATACAAATTTGAAGCAGAGGCAATTTTTCTTAGCACAACAGAAGGAGATGTGGGCGTCAGCACAAAACAAAACTGCTTAGGACAAATGGTACCACTAAAGCTAAATGTGCAACACACTGAAATCCCTGACCTGTCTTGTCTTTTTTAAGCACTGCAAGGTTTGTGATACAGGAGGTTTCTATATTTATAAGTTATCACTGATGGATCCACTGTATGCTATGAATATTCATTGTTTTAATTGTTTAGACAACAAAAGCTGAATGCAATTATAATGGTTTCATCCTATAATTATCAGTTATTTTTAAAAAAACAGTAAAGATAACTTTTCAACACCACCACAGAAATAGGAGAAGTACTTCACGAGCGCTGGATCTAATGGCTGTAAGAAGGTTGATGCAATTACGGTGCTTCCGTGTTGTCTCTAAACGCAGTCCTTAATGTCAGTATTTGCTTATATTCACCTTTAGCCACACGATTTAAAAAAAAAAACACCCTGTATAAGTTTGACGCTTGTTTGGCAGACAAAATCAAGGAGTGTGTGATTTCCGCCCTCAGAATATTTCCCTGCCTGTCAGACAGCCAGCCTCTGGTCCGGACATGTCATAACAAAGCGATGCGAGCTAAACTATTTCCTCATAGGGACATTAGCTACATGAGCTAACGCGAAGTAAAATGACCCGTCTGAAGTGAGACTTGAGAAATACAATAGAAACAAAGTAGCGTTCATAACAACCACAGATGTCAAATACATCCGTCTGAACCCTTGCCAATTTTAGGATTTCGTATTTCGTGTCTGATATGATATGTCAGATTCATGCAGCTATGGGCGAGGCTAGCTAGCGCTACACAGACGACTAGCTCGTATCTGCTAAATCATATCGCCCAAATAAAGAGTTCAATTGCATTTTCTATCTGCCGCTGAATTTCTATACAAACAGACTTACTCAGTTCACAAGCCATTTCCCTGCTGGTCACCTGCTAAGCGTTACTCTTCTAAATGAATGAAAGAGCAGAGACAGTGAAGCACTCCCAGATCACACAAACACGGAAGCGAGTGCAGCTCTGTCTCTGCCTGGCTTTGCCCATATATAGTAAACTCAAATACTACGCTGCTGCTGTCAGCCACTAGCCATGCTCTGATTCGAGGGGGGGGAATTATCCCGTTTTACTGTCTTTCAGGCTCCATCACGCCATCTCTAAACTCTACCAACACATGGCCCAGTTATTACTTCCAGTTTTTAGGCTACATAATAAATAAATTAAATTTCTTGAGAACATATTATTCAAACTAGGCCAATGAGTATTTGGCTATTTGGCTCCGTTCACGTTACATCCACAGTTTAACTCAAGTATGTGTCAGATATCCAGGGACTTAAAAATGATGCCTAAGATGTAATGAAAGTTTGAGATGGACAAATTAGCAAGGGACGATTTAAACAAAAAGCCCTCGAAGCTTTGCCTGAAAGGTCAAATTCAATACATAACTTAAATAAAAATATTGGGCTAGATGAGAATCTTTTTCTGAGACATTATGCCAAATAACCAAATTAAATGCCGGATAAGTTAAATGAGAAGGTAAAGGGCATTGAACAACAGTAGTAAACTGTTAAGAGGAGGTCATTTTAAAATCTCATGTCATCCAGTGAGTCAGTCTATGCACTGTCAGTGTCACTCACCTTAAAATAGGATTGGGAATCCCCTGACACATTTACCATAATTTCCAAGAGTGGTTTTCTGCAACAGACAGTAGCCTAAATGTTATATAAAAACATTTATAGAAAACACAATGTCAATGTGAAAGCATGAGTGAAGGTTTATTTGAGAAAGTAGTATTAGTAAGTCTGAAAATTAGCTTTCTAAGCAGTTACACATTAAAATAAACACTTTGGGTACCACTATACATTTTTGGACCCCCTGAGCTCAGTTCAACAACATCTCTGACACAATACATATCCGACATGTTCCAGGGGCCATGTCTGGCTCGCCTGAATCATTCAACGTGAAGTGAAGATGATAACCTAAAAGGTTTGTTAGCTGCAACATCATTGTGCTGCTTACCACTGTTTCCCTCCCAGCTCTCTGGTTTAAAGACTAGGCTACTACTATTCCTCTGAGAAAAAATGAAGAGAAAAATCACATGTGCAGGTGCATGAGCTAGAAACCCACTGGGCTTATCTCAAAACCTATAATCTAAAGAGATACACTTAAAAAGGCTTGAACAATAGTGTTTGATATTTTGCTTGCTTTTTTTTTTTAAAGAAAATGTCCAACATAACATAGGCTCTATTTGTTGTTTGTTGCCTGTGTGTTGTTGAGGGAAGTGATGGAAAGTGTTATGGTGGTCTCAATGTCAAATTGTAGACAGAAAATGAGATGACTGATTAATACATTTTTATTTTGCAGGTTTATGTTTGAATCATCCAAAGACATATAATAGGCCCTATTACATGCAAGCCAGTAGGCTAGTCCCTTGTCTGTGCTTTTCTACCCAGCATCCCTTCCTTGTCTCAGAGCTCTGATTTGTTTTTACATTAATGGTATAACGAATTGTCATGTTTCAGACTTGATTTGAAATGAACGTGATCAAGCCTTTACATGGGAACACTTTCTCCATGGACTGTGAAGACTTTCTCAAAGTTATTCTTCTTCCTCTATTGTCCTGTAGAGGGCGCTATACCCATACCACTGAAACCCCGCAGAAGAAGAAGAGGAAGCTCAGTTGCTGCATGCCCGTAAACGATGGCGGCCGCCTTGAGAGGAAGCTTGGTAACATTGGTCAAGGTGAGTTCATAGATGCTATTAACGAGCTTATTTTGTACACGGAGCGGTTGTCTGTGGTTGACATTGTGTTTTGTTAAACTCCTGCTAACACGTTAATAACATTGTAGTAGTCATCCTCGCTGGTTTGTGTCATCAGAGTCATCCCTATAATGTAGCTCATGGATGTAGCTCTGTCGCATTCACATGGTTTCTGTGACCCCACCTGCTTTGTCACTCGTTAAAAACCTCGGTTGTCAGTAAAATACTAGTCAATAGCATTGTTAAGAAACTGTGTGTTAACGTAAGACTATCATAGACTGTAAGGAGACAGTCAGCTAAAGTAGCTATCCAGAATAACCCTGACATTTAACCCCGTCTGTCCTTAAGAGACACGTCCATTCATTTGACAACAGTAATTCAAGGATGTCTTACCGGGGGGGTAACCACAAGCTAACTGTCCTGAAAAAAAACCCCACAAGTCTGTTTGCATTTCCTTTCCCTGCATGCTTGTGATAAGAAAACTTTGTTGCAGCTGTCAGTTATCTCAAACTTCCTCACTTCACCAGGTTTTTAACCCTAAAACTGGTGTCAAGAGGAGAGCGATGTGGGGTTTATGAGTCCAACAGAACTACCATTAATGTCATATTAATAGTTGGAAATGGAATAAAATCAACCCTGTGTTTAAGATTATGAATTGATTCTACTCAGAAGGCGGCTGTAAACTTTAATAGACTTTGTTAACTAGTAAATAGGGTTCCTTTGCTTTGGGTTTTGTAAATTATGAAGTTTTTGAATGGAGCCCTACTGTACAATCTATGTGATGACACAGATTTTTAACAATACCAAGCACACATTTCTTTCTATTGGTCATCTAATAGAGTTTTTATATACAACCTCATTGAGTATTAGTCATGTTTAAAGCCAGAAATAGATCATTACCTGAAAATGTACAGAAGTTGAGGAGGATCATAGACAGAGATTTAATTTTAAAAGCCATTTGCACGCACTACATTAAAACAAATGTGTATTTCAGTAAATGGAGTTAAATTATGGAATTCTCTTGATAATCATTTAAAATGCTGCTCAAGTATCATTCAATTTAAAAGAATGTATAAAGAAAAAGGTTCTGGGAAATGATGAATGTATTGAGTTAATCTAACTGATTGTATTTGATTGTTTCTATATTGTTGATTTATTTTTTGTTTTGTGAAAGAAAGAGAAAACAACAGGTTAGCCATCTTATTCTGTTAAACAGTATCTTGTGTTATTAGGAAAGGGGCAGGTATTATAAGTTTTCTTCGTCCTGCTCCTGTTTGCTCATGAACAGTGTTTCAGCATTATGAGAAAATACTTTTTGGTTGTGATTATGGTGTTGAAACCAAACACTGAAATGAGCAAATAAATCAAATATGAAATGAAATTGATATCATATGATAGTGTGGGCTCTCAAAAGGCATGGTTGCTTAGAAAATATTTTAATTTTTTATCTTAAATGGATCATTCAGGATCCTCTTGTAATATGTCTTATCTACATAAATAACTGTCTCTGTGTGCCTCGTGATCTACACTAAAGAGCATCTTTGTTGGGTTATATGAATAAGTTATTACAATATATGAGAGATAATAATTTTGATTATGATATCCATAGATGTTATGATTTGAAATCATGAAGTAAACTGTTACTGGTCAAAAAAAGCCAACAAGATCCAGTGTTGCCAAAAATGAAACATGTTGATATGATAGTGCTGACTGAATTGTAATTTTGTCTTTAACAATAGTTCTCATATGAACTCGTCAAGGTAAATCTAAATGGTCAAGAGAACTTTGAGGAATACAATGGAAAGAAAACAAATCCTGAAGCAAAACTCAAAATATCTCGTTTCTAAGAAATCATTACACTGAAGGGTTTAGATCAAGCAATTGTTGAATGTCAACTCAAACAATAATCTACAATAAAAGATGTTTGCCAATTAGATTTCTGTGGAGCAAATAATCCCCCATAAAAATTGCTGAGGTTACATCTGATTTTCTATGAAACTGAAGATGGAAAAAACACAGTTAGACTCAGTAGATTTGTTTTCAGGGCCAAAAAGCCAAATCAGCTGAAGGTTATCAGCATACAGCATTACCCAGATATGTTAAAGACACAACCACTGGGATAATGACAGTAGACATGTTCATGTTATCTAATGGGTTTCTCCACACTTTTAAGAAATCTAATTTAAAGTGCCCATATTATGTTTTTTCTGGTTTTATATGCTCTTCAGTGTGTTTTCCATGTCTCCTGTGCATGTTTAGGCACATCTATGTGCAAAAATTCAAAGTCCGCAGAAATGCGGCTTCTCCTACGTCCTCCTGTTAGCTGTAGCATTAGCTGCAGCATTAGCTGCATGTAACGCTCGGTTCTAGCCCCCCTCGATAAAAATGTGTCAGTGCGGCGTCATTGTCAGTGTGAGGTCACTGATCTAAGCCCATTGGCTCGTTGTGGCAAGCCCTGCAGCTCATGTTGAAATTTCAGAGACGCGTGCTGAGCAACTGACCAATAACGACAGAGCGGATCGGCAGACCAATCAGAGCAGACTTGGCCCACGTGGGGTCTAACAGTGTGGGCTCAGCAGAGTGTAGCTGACAGACTCAGAGCGTAGAGGGGGCAAGGAGGAGCAGTACATGAAAACAGACACTTTTTTAGAACTTTAGCTATTGTGAACGTACAAAAGATTACATAAATTAAATATACGAACCCCAAAAAGGGCAGAATATGGGCTCTTTAAGCCTTTTTAAGACCCAAACATAGAAAAATGGATGTCATTTTTGCTCTGCTCAGCATCTGTGCTTTTTGGATTTCATGTAGAACTCAGCGGCTTCAATTCCCATAGTCCTGATTTAATAAAACCTTGCAAGACGCCTCATAATCATTGCTTGCCCCTGACAAACATTTTCTGTGTAATCATCTTGAAGGGAAATTTAGTTCTTCCTTTGATTTTTTTTGTTTGTGAAGGCGTACACAATACGCTGCTGTAGATGCTGCCAGGATGCTGTAAATTATCACGTGAATGAGCAAATCCACAAAACATTATTTAAAGAACCATAGAATGCCAGGCGCTGGTGACCTAGCAGCTAGTTTGTGCGCTCCATATACAGAGGCTGTAGCCCTCAAAGCAGGCTGCCTGGGTTCCCCCTTGTCATTCCCCTCTCTCTCTCCCTGATATCAGACACTATCCACTGTCCTGTCAGTACAATAGAGGCATAACTCCACCCCCAAACCTTAAAAAAATACAAATCATATGCTGACAAGACAGTGTAGTTTTAATCAAGTACACCACACGTCAGTCAGAGTGCTGTCTAAAATGTAGGACCTCTCAAGTAAAATCCAACTTATTTTACACATTTTATGATCTTAGATTTTTAAGGATCTACTGAATACCTTAAAACCATGTAGTGATTGTGTCTTCTTTCCCATCTCAGGGCCTCAGCAGCCCTCGGTGGCAGCAGCTGGCCTCTCGACCGCTGAGTGTGACTGCTGGTCTCTGTGGCCCAGAGGCCCCACCGGCCCGCGCCGATGCTACCTTCAAGGTCACGATGGTGCCGGGGGATGGAGTGGGACCTGAGCTCATGACTGCTGTCAAGGACGTGTTTAAGGTACATTTTACACTGACGAAGAAACCATCTTTAAGCTTTTTGTGAAGATATATGACGCACTCTCGCTATGAGAGCAGTATTATTCTTTTGACCAATATAATTATTTCCTTTTATGTCTCTGTGTTGGTTCACTTAAGGCTCGGTCTGTACATATGCAGATGCTGATGGAGTGTTCTTTGATCTGATCTTAACGTTAACTTCCTCTTGTCTCTTTAGGCAGGAGATGTTCCAGTTGAATTCGAGGAGTTTCACCTAAGCGAGGTACAGAATATGGCTAGTGAGGAGAAGCTGGAGCAAGTGTTGACCTCTATGAAGACCAACAAAGTGGCTATGAAAGGTAGCTTGTCTTAATCTTTTCCTCATGGTACATCCCGGATTACAGCTAACAAAAGTACAAGAAAGACGTGACAGAGAATGGACGATAGCTTGTTCATCCCTCTTTGTTTACCCAGGAAAGATCCACACACCCATGGAGTTCAAAGGGGAGCTGGCTTCATATGAGATGAGACTGAGGTACAACCAGTGTGCGACTTGATGAATTGAGTTTCTTTCAGTTATTTATGTACATAACTCCAACTTCCTTTTTAATTCTCTAGGCGTAAACTGGACCTGTTTGCTAATGTGGTTCATGTGAACAGCCTGCCAGGGTACAGCACCCGCCATAACAACCTGGACCTGGTGATCATCCGCGAACAGACGGAGGGGGAGTACAGCTCCCTGGAGCACGAGGTAAACAACACTGCTCCTCACTGGAGTCATGGTATGACAGGGAAATAATTGTTGTTTTTTTGTTTACATGTCAAACTTTTCTTAGTAAAATAGGGAGTTTTCCTGTTTTTGTTGCACCTTGCACTCCTTTGTGGCGTTAAAAAATAAAGATGAGTCAACTTTGGGCGCCCTCATACTAAGCAAAGCTGTCCCGTTCTGTGCTGAAGCAGAATTGTCCCCCCTCCCCAATCCCCTGCTGGCCTGCACTCACACTGCTCCAGGACTAACTGGGCCTGAGCCTCTTGTACATAAAGTTGGAATACAACACATGAATGACTTAACGTAATTATGAAGTGTCATACTTTGTGACAGGCGGACTCGAAAATAAAAATAAAAATAAACAAAGGGACGTGCTGTTGAGTCCGTGTCCGCACATCGGAGAACAACACAGAGAACATGAAAGCTACTTTACTGACTTTTTGGCTTATTTTGAGTCATTTACATCCATAACACTCTGCAAATGTCTTGATATGGATATAGAAGCACACCACTTCCAAGCATGACAGGTCTAGGAAATGTTCACATTAGTCAGACGAACTGGACTTAAGGGGTTAAGGCTGCTTAGGCACGGTATGGAGTGCTTGGTGTGAGTTGGCCCTTAAAAACAACAAATGAAAGTGGCTTCTGCTCTGCTCAGGGTGTAATATGTTTTATACGCTTTCTCTTCTTGCTATTTAGAGCGTGACTGGTGTGATCGAATGTTTGAAGATCATCACTAGAGAGAAGTCACGCCGTATCGCAAAGTTCGCCTTCGATTACGCCACCAAAAAAGGTCGAAACAAGGTCACCGCTGTTCACAAGGCCAACATCATGTAAGTACACAGAAAAATCTCCCTCTATACATCTTGAAATCAAAACGTTCCCTTAGTTTTTACAAAAGTGTTTCTTTGGGTCATGACTTGCATTACAGTTCGTTCTTTTCACAGGAAATTAGCTGATGGCCTGTTTCTCCAAAGCTGTGCGGAGATTGCAGAACTTTACCCCAAAATCAAATATGAGAACATAATCATTGATAACTGTTGCATGCAGGTACATACACAGCCTCACACTTAATTCAGTCAATAAATGATTCACTGATCATGATTTAATTATCATTTCTAGTGTAAATGTTTCAATACTATTTGTTATTGTTTGTAGCTGGTCCAGAACCCGTACCAGTTTGATGTGCTGGTGATGCCCAACCTCTACGGTAACATTATTGATAACCTGGCAGCAGGGCTCGTTGGAGGAGCCGGGGTTGTTCCTGGGGAGAGCTACAGTGCAGAGTACGCTGTGTTTGAGACAGTAAGTTCTTTTTTTATATTCAACCTTAGACACTAAGGTTGTGTCTGAAATCACACTCTCTTTCCATACTCTCTGTGCCGTACATATAAAGTTGTCTGTGGTGGACCTTTTAGTGAACTCTTCTGCATAATTCAAAAAAAATAATCTGTGCAATACTAGTCATCTTGTTGGTCACCTATTAAGACGTCATTAAGACTGTCACAGAACTAAAATGTGCAGTAACTCTGGCCGAGGTCCAAAAAAATAACAGCATGAATTACAGTGAGAACTGATATAATACTGGTCTATTTATAAACAAAAACGATGAAATACATTCAATTATGAAGCACTGTATAAGTAAGTGGGGCGGCAGCAGCTCAGTCTGTAGGGACTTGGGTTGGGAGGGTCGCCGGTTCAAGTCCCGGTGCAGACCAAATATTGAAGTTGGTCTGGTAGCTGGAGAGGTGCCAGATCACCTTCTGAGGATTGCCGAGGTGCCCTTGAGCAAGGCACCAAACCCCCTCCCCACCATCAGCTCAGCAGCGCCCGCTGTGGGCAGCTCCGTCACTCTGACATCTCTCCATTAGTACATGTCCATAGGATTCTGTTTGTGCATGTGTGTATATTTCAGCATGACTTACAGAGTGTAAAAACAGAAATTTCCCCTTGCGGGGATCAATTAAAGTAAATCTTAATCTTAAAGTAATGAAACATGTTTGCTCTCAAAAACTCATTTATATGTGCTCAACAATCCTCAACTCTTACAAAAATAACTTCTATAATTTGTTACAAAAAGCTTACACATATTAACTTTTATGTTTCAGTGTTCACGCTAGTCACACTCTTCTCGTGTCTGCCGTGGATTTGCTTAAATTTGCACTGCAATGCATGATGGTACATATTGCTTGGTTAGTGGCCATCAGTTATACAAATAGACTGTAAATACACGTGGACAAAGCCTGATCAACGTCAACCATTGGTTACTGATGGGGGCTTTGGAGGCCCGTCTAAGGCGGTTGCCGTGCTGATAAAAATGCTGACTCGACCTTACTTTCAGTCAACCTAACGACAGGCTGAGAGCTGGAGCTCCTGACAAATGGCTACACCGCACCCGCCTGTCAGTCAGGTCAGCCTTATTATCAATAACTCTTATCCTTTGTCAATCAAAACGGATAAGCAACCGAAAAACATTCAGCCCCTGTACAGTGTGTGCCGATAAAGACGTGATTCAGACCAATTTAGTTTTTTTGAACCATGCTGCAAACATTTTAAGTGTAAAAACAGACAGGTTTTGTTTATGACTTCTGGGGCGTCTGCAGCCAGCCTCAAGTGGACACTTCCATATTGGCCTCGATTATCAACTATAGAGGTTGCCACTTGGTTGTACACTACTTTTCACAATGCATTGTGGGATACAATTAGTCCACTATATAGGGCAAGATAATGCTCGTAAAAAAATCAGACACCACTACATAAAGGCGATGTATACAGTATAGGGCATTGTTAGTGAGCAGTGTGTGATTTTGGACACAGCCTAAATGTTTGTGTATAATACAAAATGCACTAGGTATGAGCATTATATAACTGTTGTATACTTAACTCTCCTGTGGTCTGTGTCCTTTTTTAACCCCCTGTCTCTTTTGTCCCTCAGGGTGCACGCCATCCCTTTGCACAAGCTGTTGGAAGGAACATAGCAAATCCCACAGCCATGCTGCTCAGTGCTGCTAACATGCTCAGGCACCTAAAGTGAGTGAGCCACGCACTAGGAAGTACACTGCATTTCACATCTTGCATCCTCTGCCATGGTCCAACACAAACACACACCTAGCCTTAGAAAACATCCTCAAGTGTCTGTCTGTCTGGATGTGGTCATATGTGCCAGGCAGCTCAGTCCACCTCTTGATTGTTATTGTATTGTGTTGCAGCCTGGAATATCACTCTCAAATGGTGTCAGATGCTGTCAAGAGGGTCATCAAACAGGGCAAGGTAAGGAGTGTTTGTTCAATCTGTTCTGTTATGAGAGGCACCTGACATGATAGAAACACTAACCGTATTAACACCAAAACAGAAGGATTGATTACCAGCAATCTCACCAACACCAAATGTAATGAAAGCAGTTTTTGACCCACAAATGCTACCTATCTCCCAACCTGTAAACTGTACTTTAGTATGTTAGAGAGCCTTTGATTACTCACTTCGAGATTGTCATGCTTGGTTCATAGGCTTAAATTGTTCATTTCTCTTTCTCTTCAAAGTTCTTATAATTTGGTAATAATGCAAAATAATGTACATGCTAACAAGGAAACATATTGTTGTTGTTTTTTTATTATTATTTAATGCTTGGGTTAACTGTCTTTTGCACCTGCACCATGTTGATACTAACACACACTGACAGAAACATCAGCATGAAGTCGGTCGATCGTATTCCCTCAGCTAAAAAGCACAGGCAGCTCAGTTTTAAAATGACCAAAAAAACCTGTTCTGGTAAAGTGGGTGACCTTTTAAAGGCATCTAGGAACTTATAAATGTTGTTTGCCTGCATGATGTCTGAAGTGCCCTTCCTTTCCCTCTTCCCTATCCTTTAATTTCCTCCTCTCCTTGTACCCCATTATCCTGTGTGTGTGTGTGTGTGTGTGTGTGTGTGTGTGTGTGTGTGTGTGTGTGTGTGTGTGTGTGTGTGTGTGTGTGTGTGTGTGTGTGTGTGTGTGTGTGTGTGTGTGTGTGTGTGTGTGTGTGTGTGTGTGTGTGTGTGTGTGTGTGTGTGTGTGTGTGTGTGTGTGTGTGTGTGTGTGTGTGTGTGTGTGTGTGTGTGTGTGTGTGTGTGTTTTCTTCCCCCCCGTATGTCTGTATGAATCTGTCTTCACATCCCAGGTCCGGACACGAGACCTCGGCGGTTATTGTACCACTGGCGACTTTGTGCAGGCTGTTGTGGAAAACCTGCGCCACCGACCTGTTCGCTAAGACGTTTTTGTCTTCTCTGTCCTTACTTACATTTTCTTACATGTGGACGTTGTTCTTAACATGAACAGGGCGCATGTTAAGACTCGCCCTGCCATCACTCTGCCAAATGAAAGTGTTTCACAGTTTTGAAAAACCAGATCTGCTGCATCCTGACATGTTTAAGGCCTATACTAGATGTTATGATCCATCCAGGGAATCAACTGGTGCCTTGTGCTTTAGTTAGTCCTCTCCAGAACATTTCACATTGTCTTAATTCACTTTGACTCTACAATTCTTTGCATCATTCCACGTTTTTAGTTTTATGAGGCTGATCAACTCGTCAGTCATTACACTCCTATTTTCATTCCCCTGTGCTTGTGTATTTATTTATGTGTTACAGCCAAGTTAGCCATACAGGTCACCTCTCAGCTACGACACATTGTCAGAAACTCACCAGAATGCCTTTATCAACACTTTACCACCAACTCCCCAATTTTTGGTTTCTTTTTCTGATAGTCTAATAAATCAAAGTGTGCATGCCGTTTGCAGTGCTTTAAACTCGACTAAAAGTTACCGAATGGTGCAGACAAACCCATCCTAATGCAAAAATCATGTTTCCTGCTCGGATATTAAGAACGCTGTTAATATTTCAACACCAAGATCTCTGCTAAATAAAACTGCCAAAGAAACATCCACCAGCAAAACCAAAAATAAAAACTTTCAGAGAAGGGCTCTGAGAACACATTCTGTGTGTTCTTACTAAAACATACAAGTTATAGTAGCTGCTCTACACCAGGGGAAACTATTGTTACACTATGGATTATGTGTTTAGTTTTAATCTAATGACAACAAATGAACTGGGTGCAGTCAACATTTTTATCTTCAGTACGATGCCGTTTGTCCCGCTGATGCTGGAGGACGTCAAACAGCTTTATCTCATCGCTTCATTCTTCATGCTTTTTGTATCACTCTGCCCCAGTTTCAGAGACTTCACAAGTCAGTTGATTATCATAATTAAAATATGTCGTAATATATTAGTAACTGCACTCTGTTTTGATCTTTGATGAAAATTACATTTTTCAAATGTTCATGAGAATATTGTAACTTTTCTTGCGGTGAGTGTTAAATGAACTCAATAACTTTTAGTCTTATTTTGACAGTCAGTGTTGGTCTTTGTATGATGTTTCTCTGATGTTTACTCGTCTTTAGATAAGAGACAAGTGGGACAAAAGCAGTGCGTTCAATCATGCTGTCAACACTAACAGTCTTTTATGACATTTAAACTGTATCTGGTTTGTGGACCTTATTTGATTGGTATCACTCTCCAGAAATGCTTGAAATAAATGATGGGAAAACAAAGAAGTGAACATAGTGTATGAAATGAAACTGCTTATTTGTTCCAGTACACGACTGATCCCACTATTAGTGTCCTCTCTAAATGTGGTTTCCAAAGGCTCTCTAACATGCAGGCCATCACACTGTATGTGGACATGTGTCGCTGCAGCTGTGAGTACAGTGACAAACTGCCTTTATGTCTGCAACAGGTGCGCACAGGAGACCTCGGGGGCTATGCCACAAGCGACGAGTTCACCCAAGCCGTCATCGCTAACCTGCAAGCATGAGCTCTGTATGGGCAAATCTGTCAGCTGCTGCCGAGACGCACACATGCTTTTTAATTTACTTCCTGTTAACTGATTGTATGCACACAGAATATTTCAGCTGCAATGTTTTCAAACCTCACTGTAGATCAATGCACAGCTAGGATTTCCACATACTTTGGATTATACTTCCAACATATCCATTTAGCATAATGTGATGAGTAATCAGAAATTGTGGATTGAACATGCAAAGTCTTATAATCGGTTGAAAAATATTTCATTCATTTTCTTCTCTGTGGCAAGATCTTGTAATTCCTACTTAATGGTTTAATGTCTGGACATTAACCAGCTGTCAAATCATGATGTATGTACACTTTCATATTATTTATTAACTTCCAATTTCCCTTTTTATTGTTTCTTCATTTATGATGAGAGAGAAATAATAAATGAGTTATGACATCTTGTGTGACACATTTTTGCGTGAATGTAGACGACTGATGTGGGATTCAGTGTGCTCTATATCTCTGTCTGCTCAGCTCGCAGGCATCACCTCACAGCAAGGCCTCCATCTCCAAACATAGTTCATCGGGTGGACTGGAGACCCCATAAAAATGAAAAGGAGACTGTCTGGCTGTGTCAGACATGATGAAATCACTTTGGGCATGCTGGCATATGATTGGATACACATGCAGAGCCGTGAGGAAGAAGAGGCTGTACAAATCAATAATGTCTGTACTGGTCTCTCACTGAAGGGAAGTGCTAAGAAAGGCTGGGACTGATGATTGATTTTATCATCGTCTAACAAATGAACATAATATGTCAGAAAATTGTTACAAGCATTGCAAGAACATGTTATAAAATTCAAAAACCCCATTCAAATTTCTTGCAGACCATAACTTCTAAGTTCTTCGTTTACAATAATAAAACACTGAGGGGTAAATGGCAAATGATAAAGAACATACAAGGCTATCTGAGTGTTTGGCCTGATTGTTTTGAAGAACCTATGAAATACATAGGAGACATTTTTATTTTAAGCATCAGTTTGCATGGACAACTTAAAAACATGTATTTCCATTGTTGGAATCAATCTGTGAAATTCTTTAAATCATTATTCGAAGAGCTGTGTACTTGTATTTCAGTTAGAGAAAATGTACAAGGAGAGAATTGTTAGACTTTATGATTTTGGAAGCTAGTGTGTTGTTTCTTCTTTATTGATGTGGAAGTGAAGTCAAAGACTCTGAATTGTCAGATTGTTTTAATGTTGCTGAGGTGTTGGTTGCCAAGTGATTGTAAATGGACAGACCATCTAGAGTTCTCTTTTTTCTCTTTAAGTGAGGGGCAGGCAAAATCAGATTTATCCTTCTCCATTCACCTTTCCGAACATGGATTGGGATACAATTGTGAATTGTTTTCTGTGAAAGTTGTTGAAATAAAGTGGCCTTAACATTAAAATTGAGGCCTATAGGCCTAACTGAATGGATTTTTTAGTATGCTGCTACTTTGTGGAGCTGTAAGACAGCCCTGCCTACTTAAAACTGTTATGAATGGAGCAATATTAAGTATTAAGTATGTAATATTAGATGTTGCATAGCTGCTATTGCAATATCTTGGAAGAAGCCTAAAACGTAAAACTCCTAAACAATCCTTTAGCCCAGTATTGACTTTAGTTATAGGATAATAACAATCTAAAAAAATAAATAAACTGAAAATAACCCCAATTAAATATGTTTGAATAGGCAAGATATAGCCTACAACTCTGTTCATTTAAATATGACTACAGGATATGCCTATAACTTACAATATTGGTTTGGTTACATTCTGACACTTCAGGTGATTCATTATTTTTTCCATTTTCTCCACATTTCTAAACCTGTTCTAATGATTTTTATGGGAGAAGCTTGTGTGTCTTGTGCTCCTCTGACCTCCTCAGTCGGCTGCGGTGACTGTAGCCTTGAAGCTGTCTTGAACATTGCAAAGTCCAGTTGGGCCAGTAGGTGTCGCTGCGGCCCATGGAGAAACATAACGGGGGAAGAGACTGGGCCTGGCCTGGGAATTTGCTATTCGCTTCCCATTCTTCCTTTGCAGACACACAACATGGCGGACTAGAGTCGTCAGCCGACGCGCCCGGATACAGCGGATAAACCGTGGGATTTAGCACCCAGGAAGGCGAAGAAAGTACTCTCGGAAGGGCTGCTACGTTTGGTCGAAGTGAGGATTCTTAGTGGGCTGCCGTTCTTCCCTGGGTTCGGCAGGAAAACTGACTGCGAAGTGTTGGCAGTGTGTCCCAGATCGTGCTTCCCTCCTCTGCTATCACCCAGGTCCCCCCCCCCCATCCCCACCCCGCTCTCACTCTCTGTTCGTGGGGTGTGGAGACAGGGGCCGGGGTTGAAAAAAAAAACGTGGAAGAGAAAGAGAGCACAGATTCCTCCTTGGCTGTTTCCCCACCTTTCCTCTGGGCCCTACAGGAGTTGTGGTGAGTTTTCTTGTTTTTGTTGCGCAAAGCCCCAAAATCCCACTTGTTACAATGTCGCTGTAGCAGCATGTTTCCTCTGGCTGTAACAGTGTGACACCCACAAACAAGCACTCTCCCCCCACCCACCGTTTAGTCTTAACTCAGGGTACATCAAATGTTACCTGCGGAGTTTAAACAAATGCTGACGCAACAACCAGGGTCGTGTTTGATAGTTAGAAAGCTCTCCGTAACGCCGGAACATGCAAGAAGTCGCTCGGAGGCAGGGAGGGATATTTTGGCAAAAGGGGGCTCTGAAGAAAAAAAGGGGGCTTGAAGATGAGTGTGGCAACATTTGTAGAAGTCCGAGCTTGTATGTCGGTGTGTTGTGCCAACACGGATGCTGTTCTGCTGGCAGTGGAACAAAGAGGGTCTAGGTCTGTGCTGGCTCACTGGAAAGTACACTTTATTGATCATCGCTTTGTTATTACACGTTCGGGGAGGGTGGGGAGCTGGCTGGGTGGGGGGGGGGCCCACAACAGGAATTAGGTCGCCCTAACATTAACATGTTGGGTCTGTCAAATCACAGCGGCTGCTTTGTGTTTCTGCTCTCTGACATGGAGACTCCAGAGTGTGTGCACCCCCCCCCCCCCCACACACACACACACACACACACACACACACACACACACACACAAAACCTCTCCCAAAGTTTTCTGTAATGATTAATATTCTCTCTCTTTGTGGGTGTAACCGAGCATACCATCTCAGTGTTGTGGGTGTTCAACTTCTTTAATGCATTACTTTTTCTGTCACTTGAAGTAATAATGATTTCTCAGCTCATTAGGACATAAAAGTATTTATTTAATGGGTTGTTTGTCACTGGAAATGTTGACGATCAGACTTAGGAACATCCATGAATGCAATTGTTGCTACCATTGTGTAAAAGACAGAGAAAAGAATCATGCAGGTTAAGGAAGCCTGAAATCAAATATACCTTAAGTCTCTTTACAACACACCTTCTACTTCAGAGGTCGCCTCGTCATGTCAGGAACACCCAAGTGCTAAAGGTAGGCCTATTGGTCATTGCTATAGCATACCACCCAATGCACCAGTCTTATACTATTATATACAAGCTCTCCACAAAAATATATTTTTTTCAGCTTTGATGGTATCAAACAACAACAACAGTGATTTTTCTATCTGAGAGTGTAAGGTTTGTCAAAGCTAGCAAAATGTCAGCAGTCTGTGTTTTTCCACCGATGTGTTTTGCAATCCTGTTTGTTATTTGGAAGGATGCTGAGTATCAGCTCATACTCATGTGTAGGTATTGGTTTTGGAATGGGATTACTGGTATTGTAAAATCTCTAGCATGTGCCTCCTCTCTCAGCGCTTCAGCATGCCTACCTTGACCTGCGCTCGTCAGGCCTGGACACGTCTTTCCCTTTCCTATCACGCTGCTCAAGATTCTCTCTCGTTGTCAAAGTCGGCCTCAGGAAAAGTCAGACCGTGTGAGGAGGGAAAATGCAGAGCTGTTATCATTCTGTCCATATCTTCTCCAACCTATTTTGAGAAAAAAAGAAGTTATTTCTGTGCTGGGATCCTGAAAGCATTTCCGCAAAGGAGATGAGTGATCCTCACACCACACTTTTCATCACTGGCCTAGTTTCTAAAAATACAACATAAAGTGTAGCATGAAATCGCCTTGAGGGAACTTTGCTTGAAGTTTTCGACGGGAGGATCTTTGAACTTACCGTCCGCATTGTGAAATGTCACAATTGCATTGTGCTGACACAATGTGAGGAGTTATCTCTGGAGGTGGGGCAGGAGGTGTATTTTTGTTTCCTTCTGTGTTCTGACACATTTTGGTGTGAAAGAGGTCTAACAGGATCCGCACCAACTACATTTAAAGTATTATGAGGCATTATGGAGCCTGATTTCTGACATGTTTAATATGTCATTCAACCCTAATGATTTCAACACACAGGAAATGAACCTGTGTGATGATGACTAACCAATCATAAATCATAACCCTGAGAGTCATCCAGCTATTTCCTGTCCCTCTGCAGATGTTGGCTATTAAGTAATCCCCTCAAACGGTTAAATAAATGATTGTTTTACACCCTCCTGATGTGGGCTGTTTGATGTTTGTGGTTCACAACGACTGTGATGGATTTGGCTAGCAGTCTATTTAATAATATATTTTATTCATTACACACTTTACATTTTGAGCAAAACCCAAAAAGGCTATTTCTGTTAGTGGACTTCAAAAACTCAGTTGTTAAGGTGTATTTTCGATGCAGAGAAGTTTCTTCTGAACATTGCTTATGCTCAGTCTTGACCCAGGTCGGTTAAAATGCATCATTTGTTTTGATGGTAGCACGGGGGGGGGGGGATAATGGCAATACATGTTAGAGTTGTGGATAAAAGGGAGGTGAGGTTGTTTTAACTATGGGTTTTCAAGACTCGTTCACATAAAGGATTATATAGGCTGTGCCTCTGGTCTTAAATTAAAGCTAAATAAATCACTTCACTGGTAGTATGTTTTTGCAGTGGTGACAGCTCTGTCAGTGTGAAAACGTTTTTACTGCTTTTTGTATTTAAATTCTTTTTTTTTTTTCTTCAGATGAATGAAAACCAGAAAGACTGAGTAAAAACTCTTTGTGGTGTACTTATACTATTGTCATGCACTCAAGTTTCCCTTCAAGAGGAAACTTTGATGTCCGTCTTTAAACAATGCCTCTACAGTGCAGGTTAAATTTAGGTTTGATTCAGAACCAGTCGAGAGCCTCACTTTAGAAATATTTATATTTGCCCTTGGCATCGGCCTTCACACCAGCAAGATCTTTCAGAATTCACTGCTCAGGAAAAGTTGTCCAAAGAACATGTTTGCACGGTTGTGCAGTGCAGTCTTTGAATGCATCAAGATGAAACTGGGAGTAGTGCGGGTTAGGAGAAGCTCTGACGGGACTGCTGTGAAGTCTCAGAAGATGACTTCCTTATCTGTGAGAGGAAAAGGAGGGGACAAGGGAAGCAGGATGGTCACTTCAGATATGAGAAACCTTCATTCATCCAGGGCTGGATGTCATTCAAATGATGTAACCTGACGGAGGAATGTACAAAGTGTTTACTCAAGAACGCTACTGAGGCACAAATGTGTGCTTTATCTGTTTTAACTCATGTATTTCAATTTTTTTGAGGTTCTCGCTCTACTCCTCAACATCCGTTATTATTATTATTATTATGTCTACAATGAGGATCTTATACCTGCTACTTTCATGTTATTTAAGAGTCTGATTACTTTGCAGATTAAGAAATCATAGAAACATCTGAAGAGGTAATATCATCATCTTCAGTGTACTGTATACAAAATGACATGCAAGAAAATGCTTCATACACCTTTTTTTTTCTGAGAATTAGCATTAGCACGACTTCTTTGTTGGGTCCTTTGGTTTCCGGGTTTACAAAAGAAAGTTAACATAAATGTTTAATAGGCCCTGAACTTCAGCGGCACTTAAAGTCTTAAAATGTCCAAGTTAAGTTTGAGTCAGAATATACGCTGAAAAGACTGGAAACCACCTGACCTGATTGAATGTGGTTGATATTTGGTGCCACAGGCAGTTTTTTTTTGGTTGCTGCCCAAAAAAAAAAAAACGTATTGAGCTTCGCTGTCCTGCCTTATAGTTTCATACTGGATGTGAAAATCAGTGTTAACGTTTTTTTAAAGGCAGAAGTGATAGTGACTCTGGTTTCACTTTGGCCGATGTGCTGGCCGTTTGGCCCCCGCACCACACATGCTTCAAGGTCACAGTGGCTTCTGTGGGGAGGCCATACTTTGCGCCTCCACATCCTCTCTGTGTGCAATGTGGGAAGGCTTGAGAGGGCCCTGGCACGCTCTGTGAGAAACCCCACAACGAAGCAGACGCAGAACAGTGCAGAGCTTCACTGGACTCACCGCTTTCACTCATTGAAACAAGTGTGTTTTTTTGATCCTTTCAGCCCAGTGGAACCAAATCATCATTACAGGCTTAATAACAGACACGGCGGTCACTCTCTCCCGTATGATTAGCCAGAATACTAATCCCATGCTTCTCTTCATCTTTTCATCAACTCACCATCTTATGAATGAAGCCAACAAGGACAAAAACCACAGCGGCAGGGAGTAGTATCCCTCAGAAAGGGAAGTCCAGAGGATTGTGGCTGTTGTATGTGGCACTGGGGACATATAATCTGTGGTCTGTTGCAAAGCAAGAGTCCTAGCGGCCTGGGTTAGACCTGCTGCAGCTTCCCATGAAGAGAAGCATTCACAGTATTTCTGTTGCCCCAGACACACACACACACACCCCCACCCCTAAGACATAGAAACAGTATTAATATGCCATGAATGGAGACAGACAGACGAGCATTATCAGGCGTTGCAGTGGCTCAAAGAGCAGGATGCCTCGTAGTAAGCCAGAGGGAAACATTTCTCTGCATGAATGGCGAAAGTCCCCTTGACCACCACCTCTGGTGTCATGTCAGCCTGGCCTGCAGGGGTTTGTGTCTGTTGGGTTTCCAGCTCACTTGCTCGCCTTAGGGATGGCTGCTATGAATAATTAATGACATTTGTTGGTTTTGAAAATAAAAATAAACACAGAGGAGACCTCAAGCTCTTGTAGTAATGAGCTGGATCTAAAAAGAACGTATAACAAACGGAATAAGATGCTGAAACTATAAAAGTTAAGGCTGAAAGGCTTTATTATGGTCTTCAATTTTTTGAAAAGTCAATCTTCGTCTTCAGTCATTCATTATTTCATGTTTTGGCAGGTAGAAAAGATACTTATTTCACCTGAGGTCGAGGCAAAAGGATTGCTTTGAGAACCACAGACTTTAGTGGGAGTTCTCCGTATTAATTAAAGGACTACCTTGCATTGATCTAACGTCTTGGCCTTTGGTTGTCATGGAAATATAATTGGACTTCCTTTATAGTCTACCTATAAGTGTTCCTTTCACCGTGTGAATGAAATGGCATGGGAACAGCCCAG